ACGAGTGTTTAAAACAGTAAAAATTATCATGACGATGAAGTAAAAGTGCAGTTTTTGTGTAAAAAAAAATGCAAAAAACAAATATAAATGCTAACTTTGGCAAGCGTTTATGGCTAAGTGGCTACTACAAAAGACTTCACATACCCCATTTTGAATACCCTGGGTTGTTTACTTTTTTAAATGGTATGTCATAGTGGGGTTAATATTTATTTCTGAGCTGCCATACCATCTCAAAGGCAACATAGCCAAGCTGGCAAATAGCAATTTACAAAAACAGAAATTGGCAAATCTTATGTTTGACCCTGTAACCTTCCAAATCACAATAAAACCTGTACTAGAGGGTACTGTTGTACTTGTGAGAAATTACTCAAATTACGCAAATATGAGTGTTCTAGAGCAGTAAATTGTATTATACTGATAATATCATCGGTGAAATTGCAGTTTATGTGTAAAAAATGCAAAAAAACAAATATAAATGTTAATTTTGGCCAGGGTTTGTGATTAAGTGGCTACTAAAAAAGACTGAACATACCCCATTTTTAATACCGTGGGTTGTCTACTTTTACAAATGGTATGCCATGATGGGGTTAATTTTCATTCCTGGGCTGCCATACGGTCTCAAATGCAACATAGGCCCAGCAAACAAATCTGGCAAATTTCAATGTACAAACATTTGACACCAGTAATTATGCAAAAGCCCATAAAACCTGTACATTGGTGGCACTGCTGTACTTGGGAGATGTTGCTGACCACATATTGGGGTTGTCTTTGTCAGTAACACATAAAACAACTGAGAATCCATGCCTAAAGTGCCATGTGAGAGAAAAATAACACAAAAAATATGACTACCCAAAAATTTGACAAAGACTGGTGGTAGAACTAGTGCATGGAAAGTGTTAAAGAGGCGCACATATATGAAATAAAATTAAAAACGGGGGCGACGCCACTATTTAAGGACTTTTCGAGTTCACAAGACATGGGTTGTTTCATTGTTACAGGCTGTTTTTTTATGAAAATACATATCTTTACCGACACTAGCTTCCGATTATATGTATACGTGTTAATGGAAGCATCTGAATTGTGTTGTATACCTTGCTGTGGTGTCGAACCTTGACATAAATAAAGAATTATAAAAAAAAAAAAAATACCACCATTTGAAATACCCTAGGGTGTCTACATTTCAGAAATATATCATTTGATGGGGGTAACTTACATTGGCCGGCTTCAAAAATGTCTCAAATAGGACATGGGTGCATGAGAAAATTCCAAGTTGGAAAACTGGATGCGTACCCTCCAAAGGTCTTTTAGCCCCCAGAGAACCTGACACATCTACATATGGGTGGTATCACTGTACTCGGGAGATGTTGCTGAACTCATATTGGGGTGTTCTTTGCAGTAACCTTTAAGGTTCTCAGTACATGTATTCTTAAATTGCTATGTGTGTCAAAAAAAATCATCAATTATTATTATTTATATTTTTAAATTTGGCATAGATTGGTGGTAAAATGGTTACATGAAAAGAGTCAACCCCAAGTTTAATACCTTAGGTTGTCTTCTTTTAAAAGATATATACATGTAAAGGGTTATTCAGGGATTCCTGACAGATATCAGTGTTAATTTAGTTAATTTTGAAAAAAAAAATGGTTTGGACTTGCTACTTGCACTTATTGCCCTATAATTTACCCCCAAAAAGCTAGAAAAAGCTAAGAATATGTTAACATTGGGTATTTCTAAACTCAGGACAAAATGTAGAAACTATTTAGCATGGGGGGGGTTTGGCGGTTGTAGATGCATAACAGATTTTGGGGGTCAAAGTTAGAAAAAGTGTGTTTTTTAAATTTTTTCATCATATTTTATAAAAAAATTTATAGTAAATTATATGACATGATGGAAATAATGGTATCTTTTGAAAAACCATTTAATGGTGAGAAAAATTGTACATAATATGTGTGGGTACTGTAAATAAGTAAGAGGAAAATTACAGCTAAAAACAAACACCGCAGAAATGTAAAAACAGCACTGGTCCTTAACGGTAAGAAAATTTAAAAACGGTCTAGTCACTAAGGGGTTAATGTATATACTCACAATGCATAGCATATATTTTCTCTATATCAAATTAAAATTATAATTAAAGTGACATTGCGATCCAAAACTTCTCAAGTTTATACTTTTCTCTGGTTACCTCCAAAGGGACATCTGAAGCCTGGGGGTGGAGCGGGGTGCTCAACCAAAAGGAATCTGGACTGACTGGACTTTAAACATATGTAGTAAAAAAAGGAAATTAGGGGTGCAAACGGAACATGCATCTCTCAGCAATGGTCCCTATCCCTAATTAGTCAGGAACCTAATTAAAACAGAAGGTATAAGTAACCCCTCCTACCTCTCCCAACCTCAGTCTTGTTTCCAGCAATATACCAGGGCAGGAACTTTGTGCTGCCATCGCCTATGACCAGGAAAAGAAAATTACGGCAAGTACGAATACATTTTCCTTTTTCCTGGCCATATCCACGGCAACACAACAATGGGTAATAGCCAAGCAATAACCAAGGAAGGGAAAAAAATACACAAGATTTCCAAATTATGAATGCAAAGTGAAAACACACACCTCATAAGGACATTGGAAATTAAAAACTGATTGACCAGGGGCACGGGCCTGACTGATCATGGCCGACAGCTGTGTTTAATGTGAGCTCCTAACACAATTAGAGTAACCCATAACTTTAAAGCAAAGTGGCATCCCACAGACCTACCCAAGCGACAGCTAACCTGACTCCGACAGTTGGGGAGCCTTTGGTTCAACTCTGAAGCCACACTTTCTAGCCTGCAGCACGTCAAAGCTACTGAGGCCTACTCGTCTGGCGTGCACCACAGATGGGAGAAATGGCCGATTTCTAGAGCAGCACCATTGCTGAGAAATGCAAGGTCCAGCCTTCCCCCAATTCATTTTTTTTAATTGATGGCTTTACTGGCAGAAATATGGTTTCTGAAATTCGGATTGTGATTACTTTGATAAATGTCACATGATACTAACTGAATACTAAGATTATCGATCGATTACCCATGAGTTATGATGTAATGATCCTCTGGGTTATATGAGGCAACAAAACAATCCTTTACCTATCCATTAAACAAAATACATGCATTAAATGGTAGGAGTTACGCATCATTGGTTTATACTGTAGAGTAGTGTGTAACAAACATTTAGCATGATTCTTTTTAAAACAAATGTAATTTGACTCAAGGCTTTCGTTATTTTTGATAAATTATCTCCATCTACAGGTTACAGTGTGTATTGCATCATCCTCAGAATTTTACAAGTTACGTAAGTCAGGTATTAAAGCTGCCACCCTAAATTTACATTTCTGCATTCTGATCCCCACTCCTAATCCATTCTTCTTTTTTCATGATACAAGCTTTTCATCATGAGGCATGGTAGGGACTACTTTGTCTTATGTTTTTTCCCTCCACTTGACAACATTTAAGGCAAGCTCCACTTCCTATGTGAAGTCCCATTTTCCCACCATACTGGTTGCAAACCTCGTCTCCATTCTTGCTTTGCTCTCTAGTCCTTAGGGAATGGGCATGCATAAAATTCAAACACATAGGGGAGGAAGGGCAGAAAAATCCAGTGGAATCCAGAGCCAGTACAAGCATATTTGCGTACCCTTCCCCACTAAAAAATGCATCTTCACCTGTGTGTCTCTTAACCCACACACTCACTCACTAACAGACACACATACACACAGTCACTAACAGACACACACACTCACTAAAACACACACACACACTAACAGACAGACACACACACACTCACTCACTAACAGACACACACACACACACACTAACAGACACACACACTCACACACTAACAGACAGACACTCACTAACAGACACACACTAACAGACACACACACACATTAACACTCTCACTTTTTTTTTTTTATTCAAACCCCACAGTCTCCTTTCCTTTGGGAATGCTGGGGGGGATACTCCCTTTCCCTGGGGTCCGGTGGGGCTGCTGAGTGGACGGGCGGGTGGCCGGTGACTGCAGGCAGCGAGGGAGCACTGATTCTCCTATTCAGTTCCCTCGCGTGCCGCAGAGTGATGCTGGAGGCAGAATATGACATCATATGCCTACTCCTGGCATCACTCTGTGGCGTGCGAGGGAGCTGAGAGCTCACAAATCAGTGCTCCCTCACCAGAGCCACCCGCATGGATTTTTAGTTAGCTGCCCGCCTAGATTGTCAGTTAGCCGCAAGGCTAACAAGACATTTGCCTGGGCCTTTGGGGGTGGCTTTTTTTGCCGCCCCCTGGAAAGTGCCGCCCAAGGCAATTGTCTTGTTTGCCTCGCAGCTAATACGTCCCTGCTGGCATTATTGCCAGATATCTTTGGAGATCCCCGGCCAGAAGATGTTTTGGGTCAGTCAGTACTTAGTGCGGCTGACCTCTTAGTCCCCTGGTTTACTAGTTCCTGTCTGTATTTGCGGGGTACCACTAATTTCTTGTTGAGGGTCGGGGACAGCTCTGCTGTGTTTTTTTGGACACCCTGTATAACAGCCCTTTGTGCCACATACAACTTTATCCATCTAATCCCCCTTGGATGGTGCTAACCTTGTCCCAATAAAAATATAAGGAGGGGTCTGCTGCTACTTACCTCCTGAACTCAGCTGGGGTGTCCCAGGAAAGGGGAGCTATGGTCATATCTGGGGGATTTGTCTGGTTTTACCGGAGCTTTGGAGGGTGAGCTGACTTCCACAGTATTGGCTTGCTGCCTGGTGGTGACTAGATAGGTCTCTTCTGCTGGTCCATTAGCAAATGCGGATGTGAGTTGGCCCAAGTCATTGCCTAACGGGACTTTGGCCGATAGCTTCTGCATTAGTCCTACTACCTCCACCTACTAGGATCCTGCACCCTAGTTCAAGAGTACATTGGCCGTGGGCAGTCAATAGATAGCACCCCTGCAACCCTGACTGCAACACAGTTATCAGTTTTTTGTGTGTCCCGGATCAACTGTTGCTTGACTATGGTGAGGGTGGCTCCCGTGTCTCGGAGTCAGTCCTGCCGTTGACGAACACCCACTGTCTGTGATGCTGTTGGTTATCATCCGCAGCCTGCACTGAGTCCACTTCATGCAGTGTTCTCTAGGTCTCTTAGGCAGTTGGTGACTCTGATCATCCCCTGGGTAGTACAGGAGTTGCAAACGCCTCAGTGTGGCAGCAGTGGGAGCTACCCGTATCGCCAGTGAAGGACTGGATCAAATTCAGGAGACTCTCTCTTTCTTGCGGACAGTCCAGCTGCATGTATCCACACTTCTTACATTGGTGACGCTGACTGCCGAGTTGCTTGAAACGTTGCTTATTCAGAGATATTTACACTTTTGTGAGGGAGGGGGGCTGTTGCAGCTCTGGAACACGTAGCTTAGGCAGCCCAGAACTGTATTAAGGGAGCTTTACCCAGCACTGGAATACAGGTAAGTTTCTACTTTAATTTTGGCTTTATAATGGGAGAACTTAAATAGCAATTTCCAATAGTGCATGCTAAACAAAACAAAAAAATACACTTAAAGGGGTTGGAGTAACTTTTTAAAATCGGTTTTGTCACATCTCACTATTTCATCAAGATAAAATCTTTTACAAAACACTCATAATGTCTGCATTGAAATTCTAGTATAATCAAAATAAATTATAGTAATCAAAGTAGTCTACTCTGTATTCTGGTAAAATTTGAGGTTAGCAAACATTGACAAATGGTGTAGCTTTCACTATCAAGTTGTGTCCATGTTCAGCTGCCATTAGTAGTAATAGCTGTAAAAACAGTTCTATAAGAGGGTCACTAATATTCCACAGTGTTATACTCTTGTGAACGTGCAAGAGAGCAAAGGTGATCAGGATTCCTAAAGGATGATGCACCAGGAGTTTTCCTTGTAAGAAAGATGATGTGCCAATCAGGGAAATGATGAGTGTATCTTCCTTTAACTTCTGTCCTGGGCTGCTGCACACCAAGCCTGGATGTCATTGTTAGGGGTCTTTAAAAAAAAAAAAAAAAATTGGTTTTAGAAACTTATCTCATCCCCACTCCAACAAAATCTTGAAGGATCTGCCAATACATACCACTGGGGCCTACTGACATATTGTTCTCTAAAATGTAAATCACTCCTGATAGCAAATTATCGACCTACTTTATAAAGCTAACCCTTGCAGCTGTAACGCTATATTATTATCAAGATCTGCCTCTGAATGGCCTTTGGTGAATACCTGAATAGAATATTCAAGGTAAATTCAGGGATTATCCCTGAATTATGATATTAGGAGTAAAATGCTGAGATTTGTGTATTATCCCATTATAGTGTCAGTGTCATGCTCACAGACTGGTATACACAGAGTTAACAACAATTTCAGACTGTAGAAGTGAGCAGGACCTTTACCCTTTTTCTCTGGCAGTGAAGGGGTTATGAAGGACAGCCTGCAGGAATAAAGGGTGTCACGTGTCATGTTAATCTGAGATCTAGTGCAGAGGAGTTGGAAGCTCAGTAAGGACAAGGAACAATGGCCAGTGACAGCAAGAAGACAGTCCTTATAACTGGGTGCTCATCGGGCATCGGGCTAAAGATTGCCGTACAGCTGGCACATGATCCCCAAGAGCGCTATCATGGTGAGGACTTATAGAGAGCTTATACAGAGTAATAAGAGGTTATATGGAGTAAGAGGAGGAGTTATAGAGAGAGGTTATATGGAGTTATAGGAGGAGTTATAGAGAGAGGTTATATGGAGTAATAGGAGGAGTTATAGGGAGAGGTTATATGGAGTAATAGGAGGAGTTATAGGGAGAGGTGGAGTAATAGGAGAGAAGTTATATGGAGTAATAGGAGGAGTTATAGGGAGAGATTATATGGAGTAATAGGAGGAGTTATAGGGAGAGGTTATATGGAGTAATAGGAGTTATAGGGAGAGGGTTATATGGAGTAATAGGAGGATATAGGGAGAGGTTATATGGAGTAATAGGAGGAGTTATAGAGAGAGGTTATATGGAGTAATAGGAGGAGTTATAGGGAGAGGTTATATGGAGTAATAGGAGGAGTTATAGGGAGAGGTTATATGGAGTAATAGAGGAGTTATAGGGAGAGGTTATATGGAGTAATAGGAGGAGTTATAGAGAGAGGTTATATGGAGTAATAGGAGGAGTTATAGAGAGAGGTTATATGAGAGTAATATAGGAGGAGTTATAGGGAGAGGTTATATGGAGTAATAGGAGGAGTTATAGGGAGAGGTTATATGGAGTAATAGGAGGAGTTATAGGAGAGGATATATGGAGTAATAGGAGGAGTTATAGAGAGAGATTATATGGAGGAGGAGTTATAGAGAGAGGTTATATGGAGTAATAGGAGGAGTTATAGAGAGAGGTTATATGGAGTAATAGGAGGAGTTATAGGGAGAGGTTATATGGAGTAATAGGAGGAGTTATAGGGAGAGGTTATATGGAGTAATAGAAGGAGTTATAGAGAGAGGTTATATGGAGTAATAGGAGGAGTTATAGAGAGAGAGGTTATATGGAGTAATAGGAGGAGTTATAGGGAGAGGTTATATGGAGTAATAGGAGGAGTTATAGAGAGAGAGGTTATATGGAGTAATAGGAGGAGTTATAGAGAGAGGTTATATGGAGTAATAGGAGGAGCTATAGGGAGAGGTTATATGGAGTAATAGGAGGAGTTATAGCTATAGAGAGAGGTTATATGGAGTAATAGGAGGAGTTATAGGGAGAGGTTATATGGAGTAATAGGAGGAGTTATAGAGAGAGGTTATATGGAGTAATAGTTATAGGGAGAGGTTATATAGGGGGAGTTATAGGGAGAGGTTATATGGAGTAATAGGAGGAGTAATAGGAGGAGTTATAGGGAGAGGTTATTTGGAGTAATAGGAGGAGTTATAGGGAGAGGATGGATAGAGTAATAGGAGGAGTTATAGGGAGAGGTTATATGGAGTAATAGGAGAAGTTATAGAGAGAGGATATATGGTGTAATAGGGGGAGTTATAGAGAGAGGTTATATGGAGTAATAGGGGGAGTTATAGAGAGAGGTTATATGGAGTAATAGTGGGAGTTATAGGGAGAGGTTATATGGAGTAATAGGGGGAGTTATAGAGAGAGGTTATATGGAGTAATAGGAGGAGTTATAGGGAGAGGCTATATGGAGTAATAGGGGGAGTTATAGGGAGAGGTTATATGGAGTAATAGGGGGAGTTATGGAGAGAGGTTATATGAAGTAATAGGAGGAGTTATATGGAGAGGTTATATGGAGTAATATGAGCAGATATAGATAGAGGTTATATGGAGTAATAGGAGAAGTTATAGAGAGAGGATATATGGAGTAATAGGGGGAGTTATATAGAGAGGGTATATGGAGTAATAGGGGGAGTTATAGAGAGAGGTTAAATGGAGTAATAGGGGGAGTTATAGGGAGAGGTTATATGGAGTAATAGGAGGAGTTATATGGAGAGGTTATATGGAGTAATAGGAGCAGTTATAGATAGAGGTTATATGGAGTAATAGGGGAGTTATAGGGAGAGGTTATATGGAGTAATAGGGCAGAGAGTTATATGGAGTAGTTATAGATAGAGGTTATATGGAGTAATAGGAGGAGTTATAGGGAGAGGCTATATGGAGTAATAGGGGGAGTTAAATGGAGAGGTTATATGGAGTAATAGGATGAGTTATAGGGAGAGGTTATATAGAGTAATAGGAGCAGTTATAGAGAGAGGTTATATGGAGTAATAGGAGGAGTTATAGAGAGAGGTTATATGGAGTAATAGGAGGAGTTATAGGGAAAGGTTATATGGAGTAATCAAAGGAGTTATAGGGAGAGGTTATATGGAGTAATAGGAGCAGTTATAGAGAGAGGTTATATGGAGTAATAGGAGCAGTTATAGGGAGAGGTTATATGGAGTAATAGGAGGAGTTATAGAGCTAGGTTATATTGAGTAATAAGAGGAGTTATAGGGAGAGTTTATATGGAGTAATAGGAGGAGTTATAGGAAAAGGTTATATGGAGTAATCGAAGGAGTTATAGGGAGAGGTTATATGGAGTAATAGGAGGAGTTATAAGGAGAGGTTATATGGAGTAATAGGAGGAGTTATAGGCATAGGTTATAGGGAGTAATAGGAGGAGTTATAGGGAGAGGTTATATGGAGTAATAGGAGGAGTTATAGGGAGAGGTTATATGGAGTAATCGAAGGAGTTATAGGGAGAGGTTATATGGAGTAATAGGAGCAGTTATAGAGCAAGGTTATATGGAGTAATATGAGAAATGTATATAAGGTCTAGAGTATTATGATGCATCAGACAGTTCATGAGTTCTTCTGTACCTGCATTTTGTATAATTATTTAATTAAAGGGATACTCCAGGCACCAAGACCACTTCTGCCCATTGGAGTGGTCTGGGTGCCAACTCCCACTACCCTTTTCATAAAATGCAATATTTACATTGCAGGGTTAAGTCCTCCTCTAGTGGCTGTCTAGTAGACACAAAAAATGTGTGACCTCCAGCGTTGCCAAAATCCCCATAGGAAACCATTGTATAATGCTTTCCTATGGGGAGGTCTAATGCTTGTGCGTGGCCATTGCCGCGCATGCGCATTATGTCTCCCCCGCCGGCTGATGTCGGCAGGGAAGGAGCGCAGGAGGAACGACATCGGCGCTGGACTCCGGGATGTCACTAAAGGGGTTTTATCTCCTTCAGTAACTTGGGATGGGTGGTGGGAGTTAGAGGGGCACTAGAAGGTCCTGCAGTGCCAGGAAATGAATATCTTTTCCTGGCACTGGAGAATCCCTTTAATTTTTACTTGTGTGCTGGGGGCTAGTTGCACCCCCAGAACACGTGACATTGTCAGCTCAGAACTCTGTCATCAGTGCGATAATAGGCATGATTATCTTCTATAAATAATTATATATGTAAATCAACCCCTTCTAACATTTGAATTCCTTGAATTTTTTTCATAACAGAAAGTTACATTTCATTTCTCTCTTTATGACATCTGTTACTACAGTGTCCCAGAAAATGTCCCTATCCATACAGCAGGAATTATGTTATTACATATTTTGAAACATTGTATTTCCCTATGTATTTGTGCTACCTTGTTACTATTCTACATATGGCAGGGGCCCACAATTTTTTTTGTCCTAACTTCCCTATAATATCACATTAGTGTGAGTATTCATTTGTAACAATTGTTTCAGATATCAGACCCTTCCGGTGTCATTTTATTCTGTGCCTCCCCTGTCATTGTGTATACAACCTTATGCAGTGAGCAATCCCCAGCCCCAACATCAGGCGGTGGCTGAGTGTGATTGCTCCTGCAAACTACCCAATCTAGCAGCAGATCGGAGAGATCGCTGTGTGTTTCAGATGCTGCCTAGCAACTGTGGAATGCAAGTGGTTCGCGGACCGATCTCGCAATCGGCAGGTTCAGCTGATCGGTCATCTCCTCGTTCACAGTAGCATTTACTGCAAGGTTCGCTCATGCAGTGGCGTCTCTAGGATTCATTTTTAGGGGGGGCACATGGAGGGCCAGGGACAAAAGTAGGGGGGCACATTTAACCTTGCCCTCGCCGTAGTTTGACCCCACCCCTGTCGAATGTTAAGCCCCGCCCCCGACACAATGTGTTTTGTTTTTTTAATAATCCCTGGTGGAGGATTCATTATTTTCCACCAAGATTATTAAAAAAACAAACACATTACCCTTGATACAGTGCCATAGTTGCCAACATTTGAAAAAAAAATTCCAAGGTCATTTTGCCGCACAGCTATCAATTACTGTCTGGGTATAATATCCCTGGACAGTCAGTGCTCTCTGTATAATACAGGGTTGTGTGTATAATAAATTGAGACACTCACTGCTCCCTGTATACTGCTGCTCTCTGTATTATACAGGTCTGTTTGTGTATAATATCCCAAGACAGAGAGCAGCACTATACAGGGAGAACTGACTGTCCCGGGATATTATACAGGCACAGGCCTGAATTAGACAGAGAGCAGCACTATACAGGAAGCACTGACTATCCCGGGATATTATATTCACACAGATCTGTATTATACAGATAGCTGAGCATATACCCCATGTCCCAATCTCTAGACTACTAGTACCTGTCAACAGCAGCTCCCAGACGCGTGTAACAGGGCTAAAGTGTGCGGCAGCTCACACAGATGATTCAGCGGTAAAGTGCACTCGCTGGCAGAGCCAAACTGGGAATCCCTGGGAATCCAAAGCAGCCCTGGAAAAAAAACGTATGCCATTCCTACAAGTCATATATATATATATATATATATATATATATATATATATATATATATATATATATATACATATATATATATATAACAGAGTTAAGGGCCCCGGGGCAAAGCAATGCACTGGGGCCCTTGCTACACAACAACTCACAGGAATTTTAACCCCTTCAGGACACAACTTCTGGAATAAAAGGGAATCGTGACGGAATATTTCCATCATGTGTCCTTAAGGGGTTAATTATTGATAGACTGCTGAATCCATACACACTCACAGACTGTTGAGTCCATACAGACACACAGACACACACACAGACTGCTGAGTCCATACATACACAGACTGCTGAGTCCATACACACACACACAGACTGCTGAGTCCATACACACACAGAGACTACTGAGTTCATACACACACACAGACTCTGCTGAGTCCATACACACACAGACTCTGCTGAGTCCGTACACACACAGACTGCTGAGTCCATACACACACACATACACACACACAGACTTCTATGTCCATACACACATATATACACACACACAGACTGCTGAGTCCACACACACACACACACACACAGACTGCTGAGTCCATACACACACAGACTGCTGAGTCCACACACACACACACACACACACACAGACTGCTGAGTCCACACACACACACACACAGACTGCTGAGTCCATACACACACAGACTGCTGAGTCCATACACACAAACACAGACTGCTGAGTCCATACACACACAGACTGCTGAGTCCATACACACATACACACACAGACTGCTGAGTCCATACACATACACACCAAGCCTACCTGTCACTGGAGGTTGTTGCTGGGGGTCAGACAGCCATCATCTGTAGCAGCATGGTCTGCTGCTTTACGGTGGGGGTGGGGCTTATGTGCAGGGGTGGGGCTTATGAGCAGGGGCGGGGCTTATGTGTTGGAGGCGGGGCCTGTGGCGGGGAGCCTGTCAGTGCTCCCTCCAGCCACAGACAGCACCCAGCACCTCAGTCCTGCATTCCCTCTGGCTGTAACAGATTGTTACAGTCCGAGGGAATATAATTGAAGCACATGGCCAGCAAGTTGCTGGCATTTGGGGGGCCCAAGGGGGGCCCCCCCTAGCGATGCCACTGCACACATGACATGGGTAAGCACATCATTTTCATAGCTATATTCTTTTGCCTATACATGTAATGTTATCTTTGCCATCCTGAGGAAGGCTCCTGAAACGGTGATGTATATTTTTTTGTTTTATACTATATGAAGTAAAAGTTATATCTTATTCATCTATATCAAGACCTTGGAGTGCACTCTGTTTTTGGATATTTTTATTAACTATATATAACTATATATAACTTTACAACGGAGGGAGCTTCAAGAGAAAAGATGATCATGCCTGTTATCACACTGATGACAGGCGAAAAATATGCACAGCATTGACATTGGTTGCCCGTGCCTACCTTGTCCCTTAAATGGTTCCTTATTAATGTACATATTGCATATTGCAGAGGCCTTGCAGATTGGTTGTGTTAATATATTAATAGTTCTCTTTTTTAGATTTGTTTTCTTTTTATAAGTCTTGGGGGCTTTATTCTGTATTTTCATTTTAAAAACAAATAAGTAAAAAATTTCAAAAATAGCATCAGATAAAGGGAAGAGTTGCTTACTTAAAAAGATGTAAAAAAACAAATACAAATGAAGTTAATAATGAAATGTCCAGCATACACCTGCACATTCCAAGGTGTTTTCAAGTCTAATAAAGAAGCACCTTGGAATTATGACGCTTAAAAGAACAGATCTTAACCACATTTTGCTGTAGCGATATTATACGCTTTAGCTCCCATGGTGCTAAGTCAGACAACTGATATACGAAGGGGGCCTGCCCCTTTATTATTTTTCAGAAAAAACACTCTGCTCTGTGAATATATAGGTGCTTAGGTACAGTTATAAAAATATAACAAGTTCACACGCTACTACACTCAGGTGGATATTCCCCTATTCCATCCCACACGTGAGAGCAAACAATTAAAACCAGGAAGGTGTACAATACACCAACCAGAGAAGTGGAGCATGTAAGGTGTTCTATAGGATACACCTACCCTTTGTTGGGACGTAGGGATTTAGTTGTAAAATTAGGGAAAAAAGGGACTAATAGTGTAATAATGTCAGGGGTATAAGTGGACTGGAGGTGTCCAATTCTCCAACTCACATGTGAATGAGCCTTCCAGGACCGGCTCAGATCGTATAGGCAGAAGTGTACTAGATGACACAATCACCTGTTCTGCCTGCTCAAATATGGTATATGAAATGAAAAAGAAGTGGGGAAACCAGTAGACTTCTGGTGTAGTATGTAAGGTATGATAAACCAGATATACAATAAAAAGATCTTGCTCACCTATTCCAGAGCCATTAACGCCTGGCTCAAGGTGATAGCGCTCTGTGCCTCTGAGGGGGCAAAACCTTCTTTTCAAGCAAGCAGGCAGGAGTGATTTATTGGGCTATATTATTTAATAAACGCAACAATTAAAAACAAAGTAACAAAAATAAAAAGCTAGCTGCCAAGAATACAAACAAGTTGTCCTTGTTCCTCCTCCGATACGCGTTTCACCCTTTCCTAGGGCTTTCTCAATCGGTGTATCATTTTACAGTTTAATCCCTACGTCCTAACAGAGGGTGGGTGTATCCTATAGTACACCTTGCATGCTCTTCTTCTCTGGTTGGTGTATTGTACACTTTCCTGTTTTTTGATTGTTTGTTCCCTTTATTATTTTGTCTGTTTATCGCACAGCTGTGAGTGATGGCAATGTGCACCTGCATAAAGCAACACTGTATCACTTTCAGCTGCCGCTGTGTGAAATTGTTGAGTATCTGCCACCAAAATAATTCTGAAAAATATGTTCTTGAATACATGCTAGCTGATCAAAAAATAAATAAACAGGAAATATTTTGGATATGGTGACAATAATCCATTCTTTGCTGGTATGAAAGAACTGCTTTATAAGAAGACATCAAAATCCCTTTCTTATGCTTGACAACAAGCACCAATAATATGATTTCTATATGCTAATACTGAAGTATGGCTGTATAGCACAAACTTCCGGGTCACTTGTTGGTTAGTTCTACAAGTGTTTGCAGCCATCTTTCCTTCATTATAATAAGATCAGTGCTATCAGGGTCCTCTTACGCTTGTAAATTCTTATTAACTAAGATTCATGGATTTAGATTTGGGATACAATTACTCATTTCACTTGAGTTGGCTTTGATTTGGAGTTGGAACAAGCCCGAGGCTGATTGAGCATCGGGAGAGTTGTTGCCAACTGCACTTGACGTGAAAAGGTTTGTTTTTACTTCTGTAGCTGTCAGAAACTGACCTATGTTATTATATCCTACTCACGGTCTAGTTTTTTTTCATTAATTATTAAACTGCTAACACAGAGAGACCATGAAAAATGAATAACCTTATAAATAAATAAAGATGTTTTGTCTGGTTGCAGCTGAGAGTGCTGACCTTTTGCTCTGGATAAATCTTCTTATCTCAATAAGAGGATTGAAGTCCTACGGTGTTAAAGCCTCTTAAAGAAGCCTTCCTGGCTGTCCTACATTAAGTTGTAAAGTCGCCCTTACAAATAGTGTCAATACATTGCTTATCAGAAATTTATATTGTAACAGGTACAGGGTGCATGATCCCTGACTTTGGATTCAGAGCAGAAGCTGTTACTGTATCCAGCCACCGGGGACCTCCAGGCCACGGGGACCTCCAGGCGCTAACACAGCAAACTGGTACCGTACGGCTACTCGCCTAGCAGTCGGAGATTCTTAAGTGATATCACCCAACCATCAAGCAAATACTGGATAAAGAGATTAAAAGCTCTTTCCACCTTGCACCCAAACAAGAGACAAGACTGAGTGCAGGGACAAGACAATACTGGTTTATTGACAATCAGGCAGTATATTTATGCAATACAATGTCTTACATAAAGGCGTGACGAACATTTTAAACAGTGTGAGGACCTTGTGGATGACTCCAGTGACACAGAGGGTACTAATCAGAGTGCTGGGCACATACACATCCCTAATGTCAGTATGTCTTGGCTAAACTGAGCAATCGGGGGAAGGGAGCAAGAACCACTTGTCCAGTTGGTGTTTTCTACAATGTCCTTGGTGGTTAACCGGTTAATTACATAACCCCAAATGTTTGCACTGAGATTTTCTGGATAGTTAAACTTTCACGGCTGAAGAGTGATGTCCATTAGACTTTCGGCATTCATTTGAAAATCGGCTATTTCGTTTATTCATCCAATTTCTGAATGGAACAATGGAAGAATTAACTAAATTAGGAAACAATATACCAAACAGCTGAAAGACTAAAATACTGCTTAGTAGGCAGCTCCCTAATCTGGGATCACCATATTTAAGGATACCAAAAGAAGAAATTGATTATTTTAACTCAAATTACAGCCGAAGGCTTGATTTTGAATAATTAGTGTTTGCATTTTTATGATCTCCTCTGTGTAAATTAACTTTTTATTTTTTATTCTTTTTCATTATCAAAGGGTTATAATTTGTATTATAATGAAACTGATACCGGTAACTGTAGAATATGTCATAAGTTTACAGGGTCACAATATTTTTTTTGTCAGCATCAGTAAATACAAGTTCAGTAATAATCAGTACAATGATGGATGAGTTATTGGTCCAAGGATTAAAGAGCAAAACTACGTATAAGGTAACAACTTATTAATGATTGAACATGTAAGGGGTCAGCTGCCCTCGTTGAAGATGGGGCAGTTGCCACTGTTTGAAATATCTGAGGACTGAGTTCATACTATACTTACCAAGCACATTCTGATCCAGGCTGTGCGGCTATGCTTCCTCATACTACGGGTCTGGCATGAATGATTGAAAGCACACCTTGGCGTCACAGATTGCCTTGGGTTACGATACATAGTTACGGGTAGGTGTGGGAGTGTAAGAGGGTGGGTAATAAGCCTTCTGAAATTGGTCTTATACTGGTCCACTGAGTAGTTTGGAGAGATCCTGTTTGCAACCATAAAAATGGGGACATTGGTGATTATTCATACTATGCATAGAATACCTGATCTACAAAGCGATAGAACGATTTGTTTGTCAGAAGGTACCTTTGTCATGAACCCAGTTGATTTTAGGGGCTTTTTCCAGAATCCCTTTCCAACTGTCATATTAAACCGGAGGAGTGGAGGAGGTCATTTTACTACTTAGTTGTGTAGTATTAAGACAAGAAAATTCATTGAAGGCACTCGTTTACTCACATATTTGGGGTAATCGACTTTGAGAGGTAGGCTGATATGGCCCTGTAAAGTGTAAATTTGAGAGAGTTCTTGTTAAAACTGTGTAGATAAAACCTATCAGTAAAGAGAGGAGGTAATACTTTATTGTCGTCTAATAAAGTGGAACCAGGCTTCCAAAGTGGAGAGAAAGGTATTTGTGAGTTAGAGAGGCATGGATTTCTTCCATCCATCTGAACAGTTCCACGTTTGCGATCCACTCCCTAATAAATGGTGCTGGTGGGCTTTTTTCAGTTTATAGGGATGAGTAGATTGGCATCAGTTAGAAGGTGTGTGATTATGAGACATTGTGGTTTGGGGGAGGTTGTGTGTTTAATAGGAAAATGAGCGCTTCTGGTAAAAGTGGCAAGTGAGAATCTACTAAGTCTTTTATCATTGATGTGATCCTTGTCCAGTAGGCCTGAATAACTATGCAAGACCACTAAATATGAGCCGATGTGGTCCCTGTCTGGTGGCATCTCCAACATTTGTCAATTGTGTCAGGAAAGAGACTATGAAGCTTTGTTGAGGAGTAGTGCCATCTAGTTATTCTCTTATCTCCACTTTCTTGTATGTTATTGTTGATGGAGGAACGGTGTATTTGTGCAAATGATTTTCCCCAGTCCTCTGCCTTGAGTGAGATGCTCAGGTCATCGGCCCATGTAAATGTAAAGTGAGTCAGTGAGGTTTTTTAGGGTCAAGTAGAAGGAGCTTATAGAATGTAGAGAGATGCTTCACTGATATTATGCATCACACAACTCATTTCGTAGATCGTAAAGGGTTGCATGGTAAATTGACCTTTTTCACATGATTCCTCCAGTTATTTAAATTCATATCAAGTCAGTGGTTGAGTTTCCTTTGGTGGCAATGGGAGTTTAACATTGTCAGAAATCTATTTTAATGTCCTGTCTGTGTTTTTACATACTGCAGCTGTGATACCAGTGTGTGGTGGAGTTTACTAGGTAAAAGCTAGTAAAATACTCTATAGCAGATAGGGAGTCTGCACTTACCACTTACCCATTCAGTAATAATACGAGATTTGGGTTGCATTCTGCTACTGATTTAAAATAGGATGTAACTAAATATATAAAAAAAAGAACCTCAAAATAAAATTAATTGTGTTTATAATGCTGCAATTATTACGAATAGTAATAACTATTATGTGGATTAAAAATATTTTTAATCACAAATATGACAGCTCCATATTAACTTCAACTTTAGTAGGTTGCAGTTTTGCCCTCAGCCTCAGGAACCCTGAGCTGTTCCATATCTTTATTGTTCTCTCTGCCTGCAGTCATTGCCACCATGAGGGACCTACGGAAAAGTGGAAAGCTGGAAGCAGAATCAGGACATTCCTTAAATAAAACATTAGAGATCAAACAGCTGGATGTGACTCAGGAAGACTCTGTGAAGAAATGTTTGGATGGACTTCCTGATCGGAAAGTTGACATTCTGGGTGAGTGAACCTTAGAGCTAATGCCATCGATTTGCTGAGTAAATGTAAAAGAACATTCCAAACACCAAAGGCACTTTAGCTTGCTGAAATGCATTATGTGTGAAGAGTGTGTTCTCCCTTTTCATTTGGCAAAAATTAATTGTCAATTTTGTAATTTGACCTTGTTACCCACCCCAAGGCTGTCAACCAAACGACAGGTCCTGTTACTTCCTGGTTTGGTTAGCTCAGTGGCACTAAACTCACCAATCAGCACGCCTGCCTTGCAATGACTTCTTATTGAGCTGCATTGGGAAATCTGTGATTGGAAAGCCAAAGCAATTCCAAAAGTCTGGGCGAGCTTAGAAGGGGAGGACTTAGAAAGGCAGCACACGACAGATCTACAGCTTTTGCAAGCTGTTTTTCAGATATTCACCCAATGAAAACAAGCACAATTAAATACATGCATGTGTTAATTGGAGGTATATATACTAAATAGTAATTTTGTTATTTGGGCAGTGGTGTTCCTTTAATGTAGGCCTTTGACTCTGATTGGAGAAAACCATAAAACTCACTGTTAGCATACCCCAAAATAAAAACTATTTGGGATGCATTCAATCTCATTCTAGTAGTGGGGTTTTGTTAACACGTATTTCTATTGTGGGCTAACTCGCCTTATGCCAAGATGAATGGGGCAACTGAGTATCCATAGTTTATGCTGTAGGATGCTGAGGGAATAATAAGAAAGGCTTCTGAATGTATGACAGGTCAGGGGAAATATGCTGAATAAGATTATGATAACACAGACATTTGTCAACTTCACCAAAGAGATATTAACATCAAAATGCCTTGATTGCAGAGGATCTGTTTAGTGTGTTTTGCCTATGCTCCTTATACACTGTGACGGTAGTCCCCATCTTTGGGACACTTTATATAGGTTCCAGTATTATTATTATGTTTTAGTCACCCTTTACAGCACCCTCTGTTGGTAGTAACAGCTACATGCACTACCTGAATATCAAACTTGTTAAATTGCATATTCAGGTAGATTTGCATATTACTAATTCTGCAGACAGGAGAAATATTTTGTGTTAATTGTTGTCTTCTCCATCCATTAATATGCATTTATATAATTATAAATTTCTGTATGTTGTCTAATGTGATTTGATTGTTTGTATTTTTATTGAGTTGTCACAGTAATCTAAATGTAATGGGGCTAGTCCCGAGTGAAAAATAAAGCTTAGTATGTTAGTTCTTTAAAAAATAAATAAATAAATAAAATAAGGTTGTAGGGGGTTATAAATAGATGTACTGTTAATAAAAGTTGTCTTAATCCCTTTCAAAAGTGTCATGTAGTGCTTGGGGAGGTGGGCTATAATCATTATAGCAGCATTTCTTCCAACTTGAGAGGACTTCAGTGGAGATACTAGCTTGGAATCTTGGAGCTCCACTACATACACACACTAGGGAACGAAATTGGGAAGACGTGACAGTAAAGACCCAAAAAGGCTGCCAAAAACCATTTGTTACTTCTGAGCCTAATAAAATATCTCAATAATGTGTGAACAATTTATTTTGTTCAAGTCATCCTCCATTTAGGAAACAAGTTTTATACCTTAACACATGATATTTGCTTGCAGTGAACAATGCTGGTGTTGGCCAAATTGGTCCAATTGAAAGTTTATCAATGGAAGACATAAGAAAGGTGTTTGAAACAAACTTTTTTGGAGTCGTGAATCTTGTTAAGGAGGTCCTTCCCGGAATGAAGAAGCGTGGCAGTGGCCATATTGTTGTGATCAGTAGTGTCATGGGACTTCAAGGTAAGGAAACAAAATGCAAGATGAGTGGTTATGTTCCATTTTTTATTATGAGAACTATCAGTGGACTCATTACCTATAAACAATAATTGAGTTAATCTTGCTATGCAGCCACTTACTGCTGAAAAGAACTCCCCATTCCCCTTATGCAGATGAGACTGCTGAATTTTTTTAAGGGCTTGTGGCAGAGCCCCACACTCAACTTGAGTGTCACCACCAAATGTTTCCTTTGCCTGGAGCAGTTTAGCTGAAGTGACTAAAGCAGTGCCCTCAAACATCAGCCAAGGCTTTCTGAAGGCTAAAACAGGCATACTGTATTTCACAACCTTTATACAGGCATTCCTAACAGGGGTTCATTAACTGAAATAATACAATGTCACCCTGGCGCCTCTGTGTCTGGAGAATAACAAAATTAAAGACAGGGTGATTTAATTAATTAGCGGACAACAGGACACCTTACATCTGTATTCCCAAAATGTACCATTCCCCACAAGTTATTCTGAAACAATGTATCCCTGGGAACATCTGTTTCTCATATGTAAACTGTCAAGAAAGCTTCCAGATCAGATTGAACAATCACAGATTGACCTACCCACAGCCATGCTTTGATCCGGTGCAGAGCTACATGCTTTTGCTTGGTAGGTCCATGTCTCAGATAATCAGTTTCTGGAGCCCTATAGAAGGAAGTCCTTGGTATCTCTGGATGCCTAATTACCTCTCTGACCTTCCTTCCAAATAGCGCCCTGTGACCCTGGTGGTCGGGGGACTGGGATACATGATCACGGGTGGCACAGTTTAGATCCAGTGAACAGGTCCAGAGCGATTCTGGATATCTCAAGGTCAGGCGCTTGATGTATAAGAGGAGTCCATGCCAAATAAGCGTCTAAGGCGCTCTACTGAGTTATATGTTATGCAAGCAGTGGAGATTTGAGCTCTTTTGGAAGGTTTGTCCCAGAGTCCTACACCAGCTGTTAAGGTCGGACTAGACCTTCAGAGGGCTTATCTAAACATTTATAATAGAGCTTATTTCAAGAAAAAAATGCCACTTTTAGAATAATCCTTAGTTACAGAAGTCCAGGTGGGTTTCTTGTCTGACTTGCGTTAAATGTTCAAAGCAGAAAGTAATCTAGCCCATGGATCAGCGCAGCTAAGAGGAATAGGCCTTGACAGAGCCAGGAGGTAGGCATAGCAGCCACAGGAATTTAGTGACAGCTAGCATGCTGGGTAGGGCGGAGCCATAAGGGGAGTATTTATACCAGCCATTATATGAAGTGGCCATTTTTCAATGTTTTAATTTTTATTGTTTTGTGCGATGTCGCACTGACATCAAGAACAAGTAAGGGGGGTACAGAAAGGAAAAGGGGGAAGGGATAACAATGTGTTGACACAATCTTCTGTTACATTACGAGGATTAGTACACTGGCATCATACGAAGGGTAATATTACTAACATCAATTACATTTCAATGTAAGGTACTGATTGGGTCTAGCGTTTACCAATTTCAATGGAGGCTACCGTGAGTGTCAGGGGAGAACTTGGAGGGTACGCCTGCCTAGCCTAATTGACTCATGAAACGGGAAGAGCGCCCCTCCTTCCCATCAACTGAGGACCCTCAACTTGGCACACTGCGTGCTCGTCTACTTGGGTATTGGGTGGACTCGAGAGCATTCACTCAGCCCTCTATTTGCTGGAGCGTGTTGACACCAGCTTTCCCAAAGTTTTGTGTGTTTGTCCACCTTGGAGCGCATCCGGAATGCGAGACGCTCATGTTCGCATGTCGTGTGGACTCTCTGTTTCACCTCTTGAATGTTGGGGGGATCTTGGTTTTTCCATTTGCTAGCTATACTTGTCTTGGCGGCTAGCAGTATATGGTAGATAACCACCTTGTGTGGCGATACTAGCGTTCCTGCATGAATGTGTAAAAGATAGCATTCTGGGCGGAGCGGGATGGGGTACCCTGTAATTTCTTGTATTAAATTGCTAACCTGTTGCCAAAATTGGATTAGTTTCGTGCACTCCCAAAAGATATGGAGTAAGGTGCCCACCTCGGCTCCACATCTCCAACATTGTCGTGAAACAGTAGGATATATTTGGGCCAGGCGGGATGGAACAAGGTACCATCTCATCAGTAATTTACTGAAGCTCTCCCAATGTGATAGGCTGTGCGAAGAGGCACGCGTGTTTTGGATTGCTTGTAACCACATAGGTAGGGGGAATGTATTGTTTAGGTCTCGTTCCCATTTTATCATGTAGTCATGTTTAGTGGTCCTATCTACATCATTTAAGAAAGGAAGGATATAGGCGCTCACTAAAAAAAACCAATAAATGTGAAAAGGCAGCAGTGAACCTGCAGGACTTCCCAATGCCTGCTAGATAGTGAAAGTGAAAAAGAAAAGGTGGTAGACCGCGCCAAAAGAATAAATGATCAGATAATCATAAATGTACATACATGTAGTTCTTGAATTTTACAGCATATGGGAACCTCAAAAAAGAACAATAAACAATAATAGTGCAATATGCAAAAGTACTTAGTAATGTATAAATAGGATACACTGTGGGTAAAGAGCAAACTCACACTTTACCGAGCTGCTAGGAGCTCTGCCGTATAGCGCCTGGACGGTACAATCCCCATCTTAGGATATGTAGTTCTTGAATGTTACAGCATATGGAAACCTCAAAGAAAACAATAAACAATAATAGTGCAGTATGAAAAGGTATTGTGATAATGTATAAATAAGATACACTGTGAGTAAAGAGCAAACTCACACTTTACCGAGCTGCTAGGAGCTCTGCCGTATAACGCCTGGACGGTACAATCCCCGTCTTAGGATCTGAATATACCAGGAGGTCCAAATTCAACGGTCATATATATATGAAAAAAAACAAAATATACAGACCAATGGTACAATATCATAAACTGGAAATAATATAGAAAAAAGTAGGTATCCTACTTACAGTATCCAGAGCAATGACTTGCTCTGGTGATGACAGCTTATGGTGGTATAATCCCCACCACAGGATATAACAGGAAAGCAGCAGCACCAGAAGATATGCAAAAGCCAAGGGATTTGAAAAAAGGCAATGAAATTTATTATTAAAAAATATATTTTAAAATATATATAGGTAAAAGTATATAAAAAACATATATAGTAACTTCAAATCCTATCCTTGACGCGTTTCGCCCGGGTTTGGGCTTTTTCAAAAGAGAGGATGTCCTTGGCGTTCCACCCGGTTTATATAGGGAGAGTTGGTAGTTCAATAATAATCTGGTGTGGTGCTGTTCTTCCTATTTCCTGTTTGGTCGCGGGCGTCGACCGGAAATGACGCGCCGCGACCATTAGTATGTGCTGGGAGATGTAGTCCATATGAGGCATGTAGTTCAGATCGCGGCCGTCAACCGGAAGTGACGTGCCGCGAGTACCAGTGTATGATGGGAAATGTAGTTTCCCCAAGTGTCCATCTGTTATATTCGTAGTCATAAGCCGGAAACCGGAAATGCCATGCCATAAGTGGTAGCTGGGATATGTAGTCTCTTAAAATCCATCACAATGTATAATTTTAATGTACAAATACAGTGTAATCAATTCTTATTATCAGTGAAGCATGCACAACATGATATATAGTGATTACTATGAGCAAACAGATTCCAGTAGTGTATATACATCCTTATTGGGAAAACATAGCCTACAGTGGTTAATCTGATAGTGATGATGTAATTAGGCATACTTAATCTATACAAATAAAAAAATATATTTTAAGAAAATAGAGAAATACTCTTGATTATTAGAGATGCCAAATGTTGATTATACTCAAGAATTTATTTATCGCAATGTACAAAAAGACAACCACTATAGGGAATGATCCCAACTTTGAGGTGAGAATGACAAAAAAAATAAAAAAATAAAAATATTAATTATAAAAAATTGAAAAGGTTGAATTCAGCATTCAATCCTTTCGGGTATAGGGTGTCCAAATAGTACACCCACTCCATTTCTTTTTTGCCCAATCTTTTGGTCATATCTCCACCTCTCCAATATTGTGGCATCTTAGTGATACCCATAAATTTTAACTCACGAGGATCATTCTTGTGTATTTCAAAATGAGATGATACTAGATGATTTTTAAAACCTTTCTCTATGTTTCTACAGTGTTCCCCTATTCGGGTTTTCAAAGGTCTTATAGTCCTTCCTATATACTGTAAGCCACATGGACACTCTAAAAGATATATAACGTTTTTGCTCATACAGGTAATAGTGTCTTTAATTTGATATATTTTATTGGTATTATTTGATTTGAAGTTTAAAGTATGTCTGTCTATCTTTTTAGTTTTTCTGCATGCTATACAGCAGTTGCATCTATAAAACCCATTTTTAGTTTGTAAAAAATTCTTAAGGGCATTGGAGCTTTTCTCCTGTCTTGTGAAATTTTTTGTAAGTTGCATTTTTAAGTTAGGTGCCCCTCTAAATATTATTTTTGGCTTATCCGGAATAATAGTACCTAGTATAGCATCTTCTTTTAGTAGGTGCCAGTTTCTATTGATAATCTTTTTCATTTCTCTATTTTTATTATTATAGTCCAGGACTATTGGTAATGTAAACTCTTTATCAGTATATCCTGTTTTATTTAGAGTATTGCTTTTGATTAAAGATTCCCTATCGATACTAGTTATCATCTCTATATTTTCTTCTATCTTTTCTTTGTCATATCCCTTCTCAATAAATTTTTCTTTTATTTCTTTCGCCTGGATTTTAAAGATTTCTTTATCTGAGCAATTCCTTTTTAATCTTAAAAGTTGACTTTTGGGAATACTGTTTAGCCAGTTTTTATGATGACAACTATCTGTTTCAATGAAATTATTAACGTGGACCTCTTTAAAGTGCGTTTTAGTGCATATTGTATTATTATTGATATAGATGTCCAAGTCTAAAAAAGTAACGTTAGTTTTACTAAAATCAGCTTTTAAAATAATACCATTATCATTGTTATTTAAAAACTCTATAAATAGTTTGGCAGATTCCAGTGGACCCTTCCATATAAACAGAAGGTCGTCTATATAACGAAAATAGGTAACCAGGCTCTCCACCCAGCCATGCCCACTCCACACTGTTCTGTCTTCCCATTCAGTCATGAAGAGATTGGCATAGCTGGGTGCGAACCTGGTCCCCATAGCTGTACCATTTTTTTGCAAATAAAAAGAATCTTTGAACCAAAAATAATTGTTGTTGAGTATTAAATAGATGCCCTTAACTATGAAGTTAATCTGTTCTGTTTTCATAACATTGTCACTTTCTAAGATTTTTTTCACCGCATAACACCCTTTTTCATGCTGTATTACAGTGTATAAGGATTGGACGTCACAAGTTATTAGTACATATTGATCGTCCCAGCTGATATTTTCTAATTTCTTAAGTAGGTCTATGGTATCTTTTAAGTAAGATTTTGACTTCTTCACATAGGGCTGTAGCATTATATCTATGTATTCGGATAGATTCGACAGGATTGAATCTATACCGGATACTATTGGACGTCCAGGTGGTTCTCTAATATTCTTATGTATCTTTGGCAGAAAGTAAATGACTGGTATCTTAGGGAATTTTTTGTTTAAATAATTATATTCATCTATATTTAAAATCTTTTTATTTTTTCCTTCAATTAAAAAAATTTCTAATAAAATTTTGATATCTGGAGTCGGATCTCTAGACAGTTTCGTGTATGTTGTATTATCATTGAGTTGTCTATAGGCCTCTTTTTCATATAATTCTGCTGATAAAATAACCAGTCCTCCTCCCTTGTCTGCCGGCTTTATTACTATTGTTTCGTCTTTTTGTAATTCTTTGAAGCTCTCTTTCTCTTTTTTGGTTAAATTGTTTTTATCTCTTTTATCTTTTATATTTATGGTTTTTATATCATGACACACTTTTTTTTCAAATATGTCAAGAGCACTGGATTTAAAATTTGACGGATAAAATTTGGTCCTATTTTTTAAAAAACTTCTTATATATGTGTTGTCTATTGCACTATCGTTTTTTACTTCCTTATTATTAGTGTTCTTCCCCATATAGAATCTTTTGAGGGTTGCATTGCGAACAAACTTATTCACATCTATATATGCTAAGAATGGGTTGAATGTTTTAGTAGGGGCATATTTTAACCCTTTATTCAACACCTTTAATTGTATATTTGTGAGGGGTTTCCCAGATAGATTGAAGATCCCTTTACTTTCTTTTTCAATATTGTCTTTCTCTAAAATCTTTCTGTTCTTCCTTTTTTGTTTTCTTCGTCCAGATCTTCTTCCTCTAAAATTCTTTTGCGGCCCCTCTGTGGACTGGTGTGATCTGTCTGTCTTTCCCGATTGGACGGGATCTCTAAAAAAGAGGTCTCGTCCAATTGTTCTGAGAAAGACAAGACATGGTATCTGTTATGTTTAAGGTGATCTTCAGGAGGGCTAATAGGATTTTCATATCTTGTGTGAACTCTCCTATTTTCCCTTTCCCAAGGATGGTGAGTTTCTTTATTTCTAGTGTCTTTAGGTGATCTATATCCTTGTATTAATCGGTGAGTTTTTGGTCTTACTACCATTTGGGGTTCTCTCGTGTCGATTTGTGTATGTATTCTTTCTCTTTGATCTAGGCTTTCTTTATAGTGAATAGTATCAGGTTTTATTTTTTGTGATTTAATCATATGTTCCCGTGTTTGGATTTCATATTGAATTTTATTATGTGTATCTTCCATTTTTCTTCCTTCATTGTTAGTGTTAGCTCTTTGTCTATTGGTGTGTGTATCATTAGTGACTTCCCTGTGTTTATATGGAGAAAAATGTCTGTGAGGTTTTTTAGATGAGGGGAATTTTGTTTCCCTTGGTGAGTGAATTTTATATGGCGAAGATTTTCTGGGTACAAAATTTCTACGTGGTGATCTGTTCTTATATTCTCTTCTTTGGATGTAGTCCTTATGATTCAATTCTTGACTAAAAAGGCGTTTTTGCCTTGGATAAAAGGTTTTGTTGTATACTCGATCCTTGTTTACAAAAACGTTATCGTATGTCTTGTATGCCTCAAAGTTTTCTCTTTTTCTTAGATCATATGTTTTTTTGTTATATGTTCGTACTTGATTATGGGCGTAATCATATTTGTCTCTATTGAACTTATTGATTTTTATTCTTTTTGTTTCTATTTCTGTTCTTTCCATTGTTTTTTTTATTTTTAATGTGGAATCGTAGTATTCCTCTGTATCTCCAAATGGGACTAGTTGTTCTTTTAGATTATTGATTTTATTATCTAGATTTTGTAATTTCTCATTTTTTACTTTTATCAAAGATTTCATTAAACCAAAAGTACAGAATTCCAGATGGCCAAACCATTCCTCCATGAATGGCTGGTTATCTGTATCTGAGGTGGGCATTTTGAAAAGACGTAACCCTCTTGGTGTAATTTTATCCTCAATATATTTGGTTAGAGTGGCTATTTCCCATCTTAGTTTCATTTCTTTAATCATAGTGAATTCAAGTTCTTTAAGCAATTCACGTGGATCTTCATATTGTATTGGGGGCTCGTCACACTCTATATTGATGTTTAGATCTATATCCTTAAAGATATCATTTATATTGATAGTATATTGTTCTCTATACTCAAATAGTGTCATGGTTATATATAGGGCAGCCTATAAGGGAAGTACAAAATACAGATAAGAAAGGAAGGATATAGGCGCTCACTAAAAAAACCCAATAAATGTGAAAAGGCAGCAGTGAACCTGCAGGACTTCCCAATGCCTGCTAGATAGTGAAAGTGAAAAAGAAAAGGTGGTAGACCGCGCCAAAAGAATAAATGATCAGATAATCATAAATGTACATACATGTAGTTCTTGAATTTTACAGCATATGGGAACCTCAAAAAAGAACAATAAACAATAATAGTGCAATATGCAAAAGTACTTAGTAATGTATAAATAGGATACACTGTGGGTAAAGAGCAAACTCACACTTTACCGAGCTTTACATCATCATTATCAGATTAACCACTGTAGGCTATGTTTTCCCAATAAGGATGTATATACACTACTGGAATCTGTTTGCTCATAGTAATCACTATATATCATGTTGTGCATGCTTCACTGATAATAAGAATTAATTACACTGTATTTGTACATTAAAATTATACATTGTGATAGATTTTAAGAGACTACATATCCCAGCTACCACTTATGGCATGGCATTTCCGGTTTCCGGCTTATGACTACGAATATAACAGATGGACACTTGGGGAAACTACATTTCCCATCATACACTGGTACTCGCGGCACGTCACTTCCGGTTGACGGCCGCGATCTGAACTCCATGCCTCATATGGACTACATCTCCCAGCACATACTAATGGTCGCGGCGCGTCATTTCCGGTCGACGCCCGCGACCAAACAGGAAATAGGAAGAACAGCACCACACCAGATTATTATTGAACTACCAACTCTCCCTATATAAACCGGGTGGAACGCCAAGGACATCCTCTCTTTTGAAAAAGCCCAAACCCGGGCGAAACGCGTCAAGGATAGGATTTGAAGTTACTATATATGTTTTTTATATACTTTTACCTATATATATTTTAAAATATATTTTTTAATAATAAATTTCATTGCCTTTTTTCAAATCCCTTGGCTTTTGCATATCTTCTGGTGCTGCTGCTTTCCTGTTATATCCTGTGGTGGGGATTATACCACCATAAGCTGTCATCACCAGAGCAAGTCATTGCTCTGGATACTGTAAGTAGGATACCTACTTTTTTCTATATTATTTCCAGTTTATGATATTGTACCATTGGTCTGTATATTTTGTTTTTTTCATATATATATGACCGTTGAATTTGGACCTCCTGGTATATTCAGATCCTAAGACGGGGATTGTACCGTCCAGGCGTTATACGGCAGAGCTCCTAGCAGCTCGGTAAAGTGTGAGTTTGCTCTTTACTCACAGTGTATCTTATTTATACATTATCACAATACCTTTTCATACTGCACTATTATTGTTTATTGTTTTCTTTGAGGTTTCCATATGCTGTAACATTCAAGAACTACATATCCTAAGACGGGGATTGTACCGTCCAGGCGTTATACGGCAGAGCTCCTAGCAGCTCGGTAAAGTGTGAGTTTGCTCTTTACCCACAGTGTATCCTATTTATACATTACTAAAGTACTTTTGCATATTGCACTATTATTGTTTATTGTTCTTTTTTGAGGTTCCCATATGCTGTAAAATTCAAGAACTACATGTATGTACATTTATGATTATCTGATCATTTATTCTTTTGGCGCGGTCTACCACCTTTTCTTTTTCACTTTCACTATCTACATCATTGATTGCTGAATAACTCAGGGAGAGGGGTTTACCTATGGATTTAGTGGTTATACAACGTCGCCTGAATGTGGTAAGATGTTCTGGATCGCTATGGTGTATTTTTAGCGAAGATAGAGCGTGTTTGATGCGCAAATAAGTGAACAGCTCCCTAGAAGGTAACGCATATTCGGCTTGCAAATCAGGGAATTGTTTCATGCCCTGTGGTGTAAATAGGGACTCTACTGTGGTGATTCCCTTTGTGACCCAGTTTTTCAATGAGATGTCACTGATTAGGTCTAGTAGACGTGATAGGGGAGCAAAGAAAATGGGGTGTGCCTGTCCCATAAGATCGCTCGCCCATCTTCTCCAACTGGTTATCAGGAAATTGGTAGTGTATAAGCTTTGTGGGGAGGAATTTACTGGTGCGTTACGCACCCATAAATTTTGAGTTAACGAGGCCGGGTGTAGGCACGCATTTTCCAAAGGCAGCCACACCGGTGTGCTGGCCCTCGTGAGAATCTCCACACCTTGGGCGAGCACTGAGGCCTTGTAATACCCTTTGATATCAGGGATTCCTATGCCTCCTTTGTTTGGGGACAACCATGTGAGCCTGAGAGCTATTCTGGGGGGTTTCTTTTTCCAGATATAGGCATTGAAGATGGATTGGAATTTTTTGAGGAGTGTGTCCGGTAGCGCAATGGGGAGGGTGCGGAATAAATACAGGACGTGGGGCAGTGCCATCATTTTGATCGTTTGAACTCTACCTAACCAGGAGATTTCGAGGGGTTGCCATTTGTCTAGCATAGATTGTAGTTTGTGTGTCAGGGGTATATGATTTTCACGCGTGAGTCTAGCGAGCGGTATTGTTAAGTTGACCCCCAGGTACTTTAAGGCCTTGAGCTTCCAGTCAAAGGGGAACATAGACCGCAGCCTATCTATCGTTGGGGGAGAAAGCCCAAAAGGTAGCACTTGGGTTTTGGTTGTGTTGTTTTTGTAATATGAAACCTCGTCGTAGCGATGTAGTAGGGAGGTCAGAGCCGGGATAGATTTATCGGGGTGTGTGAGAAAAAGCAGAATGTCATTCGCAAACAGTGTCATTTTTTGGATCCCTGCTGGTGTAGTGAGTCCTGAGATCTCTGTGTGATGTTTGATGCGGTATATGAGTGGTTCCAGGCAAAGTATAAAGAGCAGGGGTGACAGTGGGCACCCTTGTCTTGTTCCATTACTGATTGTGAAAGGTTGTGATAGGAAGCCTGAGTTAAAGACCCTAGCTGACGGTGTGCCGTACAATGCCAGAATGCTGCCTATGAAGTTTGCCGGGAATCCCAGTTTCAGGAGGGTGGCCTCTAGGTATGTCCAGTTGAGCCGATCAAACGCTTTTTCAGCGTCTAGACTCAGGATCACCCCCTGTTGTTTGCTTGACCCCAGCCAGTGAATCAGATTCAGACAGTGACGTGTGTTGTCCCCTACTTGGCGACCCGGAACGAATCCTGCTTGCTCAGTTGATACTAGATCTGCAAGAAAGGGTTTCACGCGAGATGCGAGTAGTTTAGCATATAGTTTAACATCTGCGTTGAGAAGCGAGATCGGTCGCAGGTTCTCACATTTAGTGGGTGGTTTGCCCGGTTTAGGGAGTGTAATTATATGTGCTTCCAGCATTTCTTTTGGCATAAGCCCTGTCGTTTTAATGTCATTAAATAATAAGGTTAGGAAGGGGGTTAGGATCCCTGACAATTTAATATAATAGTAGTTTGAGAATCCATCGGGACCCGGGGCTTTATGCTTTGGGAGAGTGGCGATAGCTTTCGAGATCTCGTCTTCCGAGAACGGTCGTTCTAGTATTTCTCTTTGTGTTTGTGACAAGTGTGGCAATTCTACCTGATGGAGAAACTCATCTATGACTGCATGTGTCGGCTGAGGTATTGAGGGGTCATTTTTCAGGTTGTATAAGTTGGAGTAGAAGGACGCCAACGCGTTAACAATATCGGTGGGGTTGTATAATTTAGATGCCTGCGGGGATTCGATATAGGGGATTTTCGATTGGAGACGTTGGGCTTTTAACTTATTGGCCAATAATTTACCCGCTCTGTTGCTTTGTGTGTAATATGTCAACTTAAGAGCTCTCATTCTTCGTTCGATCGTTTGTAAAGATAGGGCATTTAAGTCTCTCTGTAGGCGAGCAACTATTTTAGCTAATTTAGTGGATGGGTTACTCTTATTGAGCTTATCAACCTCTGTGAGTTCGTGTGTTATCCGCCTCGTTTCTTCGTCTGTTTTCCGTTTTTTACGCGACCCGATTTGAATTAGCGCCCCCCTAACTACAGTTTTGTGAGCTGCCCATAGGGTACGTAAGGACATCTCCTCGGACATGTTTTCCTTGAAGTAGTTGGTAGCGGTTTCACGAATAGTTTGCAACGACATGGGATCGTCTAGAAGACTCTCGTTAAGTCTCCATTTGCCTCTCCCACGGGTTGGATATAGGCTGCTGAGAGTTACTATCACTGGGGCATGGTCAGACCACGTCCGAAGTCCTATATCTACGTCAATTATGTTTGTTAGGGTCAGTTTGTCTACCAGTGTAAGGTCTATTCGCGAGTAAGTTGAGTGTAGTGGCGAGAAAAATGTGTAGTCTCTACCTGTTGGGTAAGTGTTGCGCCAGGAATCGTATAAGTCTAGTTCGAACATAATATCTGACAGGACTTTACCATTTTGATATGCGGAAGGGATAGGTTTCTTATTATTCACCCTTTGGATGTTCAGGTTTGGGTCTGGGTTGCAATTGAAGTCCCCGCAAATTATAACCTGTCCATGTTTCATTGAGTCTATCTTTTTAAGTGCCCTTTGTAAGAAGGTAATTTGGCCATCATTGGGGGCGTATAGGGATGCGATGGTGACCTCGACTCCATTAAGTAAGCCTACCAACACTTGGAGGCGGCCCACGCTATCTGCATAAGTGACTTGCGGTTGAAAGACCCAGTCTGCATGAAAGAGGATAGACACCCCTTTCGATTTGTTTGGGGAGTAAGCATGGAAGGCTTGAGGGTAGCGCTTGGTCTGGAACTTAGGGGGATTGTTAACACACAGGTGTGTTTCTTGTAGGCATATGACTGCGGCTTTAGACTTGTGCAAATCTCTGATTGCCATGCTCCGCTTGTGCGGGCTGTTCAAGCCTTTGACATTCAGGGAGAGAATTTTAAACTCAGAGTGGGTCATTGGAAGGTATAAGCTGCCCGGCTCATGAAATTACCCATAACAGTGACGTATATTGGAGTGGTGGGTCTTGGCTCCTCAACGTATTTAGGTAATCCTCCGTACATATTAATAAAGACATACCATTTTGAATTGTGTCTGAAAGGGGGGAGGGACGGAATTGAACAGGGGAAGAGTTGGGGAAACAAGTTAAGAAACAACGTGTTCCTGCCTATAGCAGGGTCTACTGCCGTATCCGTGTGAGGTGGAGCCTCACACTTCGTCGGCATGGGGATCGTGGTATTATGACCACCATTTAGGGCCCTATGACACTACTAGGAGGTTAAGTGAACAACCCGTTGTGTCCAGACCGTAGACTTCGGGTACTGACCTTATTATGCTGTCAGATTCAGCAATGGGCTATTTATACTTTTATTATGTCATTTTTTTTTTTTTTGTGAAGAGGGTATGGGTTAGGGGGTCATTCAATTTGCCCTTCACCGGGAGGTGTGCGTTACTTGGGGGCATTCTAGCCAGTGTGTTGGGGCCTTTGCTGCCGTATGTCTGGGTGGGTGCTGCTGATAGTGCCCCCAACTGCTTTAGGGACTACCTTGCTCCATAGGGCCCGCCTGCTTACGCCAGCCTCCTAGTGTGGTGCCTGATACATTTAAGTGCTGCCCCTCTCCCAATACCCCCCAGCAGATACCCTATTGTTAAGGTCTGATATGGCCTGACACGCCTTGGTGTATACTTGAGAATGTTTGCGAGACACGGTCAAGGGTATTGCACCTTAGCTTGTGCCGCAACATATCTGGTTACTAATCTTAGTGTACAAATGGTCCTGTTAGGCCATTATGACCCCGCGACTTAAAATTAAAATAGGGAATTACCAACTAGATGAGTGATCGACTGGTGGGCCAGGAGCTGATCTTGTATCCCATCAGAATAAGTGCGCCAGGGGACATAAAAAGACATGGAATAACAAAACAGTTAAAGATACTCAAGTGTCCAGGGTGCAGGTTGTTTCCTTTTAAGTGTTCATGTTAGTCCCGTTTGTGAGAAGTAGCGGCAGCCCCAATCTTTTTCCATTCCGGTAGAATCTTCAGCGGTGAGGCGTTTGTTCTAGAGTTCAGGCCTTGCGCTTGGTGTAACCCCCATTCCTTCAACTTCTCCATGCCCGCATCTGGTTCCAAGATTACGATGGTTCTATCGCGGTACCAAACTAGCAGTTTCGTGGGGAACCCCCATCGGTATGGTATGCTGTGATTGCGCAGGGTTTTGGTCACATTCACAAATTCCCGCCTTCTCGCCATTGTTGAAGCAGAAAGATCCGCAAATATTTGAATATGTTGATACGGGTCGGGCAAAGCAGTGAGTTTCCTAGCCGCGTTTAGAAGGTGTTCTTTGGCAGTGTAGTGATGAAATCTTACTATGGTGTCTTTTGGGGTGACTGCTGTAAAACGGGCCGGTCTTGGTAGCCTGTGTACCCGGTCCATCTCCCAGTCGGAATCTTCCACTTGTGGGGCTAGAAGTTTGCAAAGAGTTTTGATGTGGAGAGGGAGTGCCGCGTTGGTAATTGCGTCGTCAATGCCCCTGAAACGCAAATTGTTGCGGCGCGATCTATCTTCCATATCTGCCATTTTGCTTTTAAGGGATTTTTGTTCCTCTTCCAGAGTATGCAGCTTGTCGACCAGTTCATTATGGGCTTCACATATTTCTTCCGTTTTCGCTTCTAGATGGCTATTGCGACCACCTAATTCAGCTAGTTCTCTTTTTAGCTCGTTGGTGTATTGGCGGAGATCAGACCGGAGAGAGCCCTTTAATGCCTGCAACATCGTGTGGAGGCTTTTATTGGTGACCGGCTCCTCATCCAGTGACTGTGGATCATATTCTGGAGCCTCTTGACTTTCTGGTGATACTGAGCGAGCAGCGTGGCCGTCGCCATCTTGCGCCGGTCTCGTCTTGTCCTTTTTTGTTTGCCTGACCGGGTCAGTGATCTTGGTTTGTTTAGAGGGTGCCATGTTGGGGTCGGGCTTCGTACCCGCCGTTTGTGCCGGTTTTCGTCCGGGTTTTTGTAGCTAAATCGACGCTTTGGGCCTGGTGGAGCACGGAGCTGTCGTTACATGCGACTTCTCCTCTCGGTGGTCGGCCACGCCCCCTGAAGTGGCCATTTTAACTGAACCTAAGCTTACCTGTCAGTTGTCCCTCCCACCCTCCCTATATTTGGTTAGGTTAGTTGATTTCCCGTTTTTTCACAGTGGCGGGGAATGGCCTGTTTAAATCAGAGGGTAGATGGAGGAGAAAGTGGGCATCCTGAAGTTTAGTGTGGATTGGGCAGTGTTGCACGTGGTTGGTAGGTTCGAGCCCGTCGGTGGCTCCGAACCTGGGGGTGTGGTGGTGTCTTGGTACACCCTACACTGGAACTGGTGGGTAGCTGTGGCTTGGTACACCCCTACAATGGATATGGAGAGTAGCGGTGTCTTGGTACACCCCTACAATGGATATGGTGGGTAGCAGTGTCTCGGTACACCCCTACAATCGATATGGTGGGTAGCAGTGTCTCGGTACACCCCTACAATTTAACCTGGTGGAAATGTGGTCAAATTGGGCGGCCAGTTTCTGTGTTAACATGTTATTTAGATTGTTATCTATTGTTATTATTGCTAGGGGTATGTTATGTATATGGGGGAGGTTAACATTATTAAGATTTGTTGGCAATGACCCTATTTGTTATTCCTTAATTATTTAATTAATAATTTAATAAAGCTGTGGACGAATTATTTCCAACAGTATAACCTGTGTCCGTGTTTTAATGGGGGTTTGGGTAAGGTTAGCGCATATGCCGGCAAATCCGACTGTGCGCCTGTCATGCTTCTCTATACAAAGCATTGGTTAGGCAGAGCATGCGGATTGTTATGGATACAATGTAAGTCCTCAATCATTTTTTATGAAAGTATTCGACTGGACTGGAGATCATCAATAATCTATTCGACTGGAGATCATCAATGGTCTTTGCGACTGCAGATTAGGTGCACTGAGGAGACTGCTAGCGATGAAAAAAAAAAAAGAAGAAACAAAAGTAGTGAGTTTACTCAATGTGCCAAAATCTAAAAATAAACTTGGCAGTGTAATACAAAAACAAAAGCAAATACAAATATACAAAAGTCCTGAACTCAAACTACCACCACTCCTGACCGGCAGCAGTGACCACAGTATATTTATTTTTAACATTAGAGTGTTTCTTTAATGCTTTCTTACCCTATTTCCTTCCTACTCATCTTGTTTTTCTTAAATTTTTCCAACTTCTCTCTTTTCCAAGAATAAGAGCGCCATGAGAAATGTACATGGTTATTCTCTAAAGTAAGAATTCAAAGTAAATTTCAAATTTAAAGGAACACTATAGTCACCTAAACAACTTTAATGAAGCAGTTTTAGTGTATACATCATGCCTCTCAGGTTTCACTGTTTTCATTGTCATTTAGGAGTTAAATCACTTTGTTTCTGTTTATGCAGCCCTAGCCACACCTCCCCTGACTATGATTGACACAGCCTGCATGAAAAAAAACTGGTTTCATTTTCAATCGGATGCAATTTACCTTAAATAATTGTATCGCTTTCTCTGTAAATTGAACTTTAATCAGAAACAGGAGGTTCTTGCAGGGTATAGCAAGCTATTAACATAGCAGGGGATAAGAAAATCTTAATTAAACAGAACTTGCAATAAAGAAAGGATAAACTTTAGATGACTCTTTACAGGAAGTGTTTAGGAAGGCTGTGCAAGTCACATGCAGGGAGGTGTGACTAGGGTTCATAAACAAAGTGATTTAACTCCAAAATGGCAGATATTTGAGTAGTGAGACTGCAGGGACAAGATATATACACCAAAACTGCTTCATTAAGCTAAAGTTGTTTTAGTGACTATAGTGTCCCTTTAAGGTTCAAATAGTCTGTTACGTCAGCTATGCATTGTTTGGTTGTTTTGCTCTTCAATTTGAAATTTACTTGGAATTCTTACTTTAGTAAATAACACTTTTAGTCTTGCATATTTCTATCGTAATTAGGTCTCTTGTCTTAAAAAATTAAAAGCACAAAATAAAATCTTTCATCTAGTCTACTCTTTTCTTCTTTTAGGTATTTTATTTAATGATATTTATGCTGCATCAAAATTTGCCATTGAAGGTTTTTGCGAAAGTTTGGCAGTCCAGCTACTGAAGTTTAATATATTGTAAGTACACAGACAATTGTACCTAACGTTCTCTTTTTGATGAGACGTTTACAAATCTAGGTTTTATATATTAAAAAGCCTAAACCAGTTATGTTTTTCCAGCATCTCCTTGATAGAACCAGGACCTGTTAACACAGAGTTTGAGATGAAGCTGATGGAAGAAGTATCTCGTTCAGACTTCCCTGGGGCTGACCCTGAAACCATACGTTATTTTAAAGATATTTACCTACCTTCCGCTCACGAGATCTTTGTCACCTTGGGACAGACGCCAGATGCAGTGGCAAAGGTTATATATTTTTATTTACCTTGTATTTACTGCTAATATTTAAATCATAGGTAAAATATTTTTTAAACAATGTTTTTTATGCCACAGCATGTGTCCCTATCTAGGGACAGATTCCTATTTTTGGCCAAAATCCCTGTCTCTTCTATCGTAATGTCCCTCTTTTCTAGAAGCTCCACATGGTTGGTATGTCTGAGTGTATAACAGAGCTCCACGGCAGTAATACTCACAGTAATGTGTCTTTAACCCCTTAAGGACCAAACTTCTGGAATAAAAGGGAATCATGACATGTCACACATGTCATGTGTCCTTAAGGGGTTAAACTATAAAAATCAGTTGATGTAAATAAAATACTTTATTCTTGTTCTATATTACGTTGTAGTTGCATAAATTGTTATTATTAAGTCACCTAAAATTATTTAGAACAGCTCTGCCCCTGGCCACATCCCCACTCACAGCCCTAAAATTAAAGTGTCTATTTGAAATATTGAAAAGTATGTTAAATGCCATGTCCCATTGTTCCCTTTTGTCTATGGCTCTATGCTATCTGGTTGTGGGAGGGACAGATCCCAGCAGAGAAAAGGGTTCTTTGTACAGTAAGAGTTATTAACATATAGTATTCTCTGTCTAGTGAAGTTGCTTCATCAGATTCAGTAGAAATTTGTCCCGCACTCAGTGTAGTCAATGTCATCCAAGATTCGATGGCTTTGGATGGCTAATGAGGAATTGAAGCCTTTGCATTTTCAGAGAAACTGCAGAGGAGCCAGGGTTTGGGTGCCATGAAATTTTCTCAAATCTCCCAAAGGGGGTTTAATAAAACATAGTGCGAAGGCACCAAAAGATTCCCTGCACCACAACCACTACAAAAGGACGCCACTGCGTCTGTCCCTTCACCAGGGACCTCCAGGAGATGCTGCAGCAACTGCAAGTATTGCTACAAAACATACACACATCAGAGAACTGTGAGATGGGGGATTGACTTTTTTTTTTTTTTTTTGACTCAGGTCTCAGGTAAAAAAACAAAACAAGAAAAAAACATATGGTAGAGCATAACACACAGGGTGTCTAGCATTTATTGGCATTGGACTAAAAGGGAATTTAGTTTTGGTTAGTGGGAGACAGAGCTTATTCTGAAGCCTAGCGTGCCTAGGAGTGTGTTCCTGTGGCCGAATGATCTGGGGTTGCTAAGGGCATTTAGTCTGAATGTGCTTATAGTACAGTAATAATGTTATGGTTCAGTTTGGCAAACTGGGTTATATGGGGACCGTGTTTTCTATAGTGTGGGCATTTAGGTGCGCTCCTGTCTTGAAATTATACCCCATTACCCTGGGGAAGTGGGGAGGGAGAGGGGTAACGTTTCAGTGGTGCAATTAACCTGAACACTTGCTAACATAAACATAGGAGAGAGGTGAATCTCAGTCGCCATAAATGGCATGCCCATGTAACAAGAGGGCTGTTAAGTGGTAAGTATTAGTCCCTGGATTCTTCAGGTTGTGGCCGCTGTGGAGGATCCCGCTCCAGCCCTTCAGGGGAACGAACGGTGTCACCTTTGTAGGGTCACTTATTGTTGGCTGTGCCGCTAGGTGGTTTGGTTCCACAGCTGACAGAGACTCCTGTTGCAGCCCCAGGCTTGGCAGATCATCTGTGGCTCCTTGCATATCTTGGATCTTGAATGATGTGTCGCTGTGGTGGATTAAAAGTGCCCGGGGTTGCCTCCATTGGTATTTTGATGTGTCAGCTGGAGTCAGCTTCCAGCGTGCTCAGACAGTCTGTCAGGCCATTCAGGTCTCCGCGAATCTGGGCCATGTCAGCTTATATAGTGAGCTGAAGCCCCGCTAGCAGTTCTTTCATCACCGCTGTGGTCACTGGAGAGGTATATGCTTGTGGGTGAGTCTGGAGAAGAGCTGTCAGGATGGGTGAGTGGTGTATTTCAGCCCCGCTTGTAAAGTCATCTGATATATCAGAGCAGTCATCGGCTTAGTCAGCCATGTGCCCATGTTGTTGCGGGCCTGCCTCCATAGGTCTCCATATTTCCTCTCAGCTGAGGTTTATCGGGCTTGGCCTTTTTAGTTTTTTGGCCCATCTCTTAATTGCAGTTAGTGGTTCAGTTTGGTACCATTTGCAAAGAGTTTGGGACGCGTTAGAGCGTCCAATGTGGTTGAGTGGTACGGAGCTCCAATTGCATACAGCCATTCTGGTCAGTAGCTTCGGGATTGACTTTTTAAACAGTAAAACACACACAAAATTTACTTTTTCAGTCCCGTCACCCTAAATACAATAACTCTTTGTCAAATGCACTCTTCCTACTGTCTTAATTATCTACAAACTTAAACCTTTGCACACCAGTAATATTAACCTTAAAAGTTCTAATCTCTGCCTCTTGTTCACAGTGTGGACATGGGTTAGCTGTTCATGTGAACTACAGTTTTGTTAACTAGCCCTTCCATGGCCGGCCTTAGGCCTTTAGGCGACCTGTGCGAAAAATCTTCACAGCGCCACCCTCCCCCTGTCATCCATGTATAGTGTGTGTGTATAGGAGTGTAGTGATTGTATGGGGAATTAAATTAGTAATGATTTTAAAAAAAATATTCATTCCTCCTTTCCTAGTTGGAAGAAGGGCATGCTGATCTGAAACTGGTCTGCCCCTTGACTGGGTACAAACCATAACTGTCTTGCAAGCTCAGGGACTTGCAGTGTCCTGTGGTAATCTGCGGCAGCGCTCTGATTATCCTGAGCTAGGAAGACAGCTACTTATGGTTTGCAGCCAACAGAAGTGCAGGCCAGAAGTGCCAGACTGCCTCCTTTACATTACCGATGAGCAGACTAAGTATGTCACATAATACTGTGAGTGGTTTTGCTTTGGAGCTCTGGATTATACTTATTTACCTTGACCTCTTTGGAATAAAAATGTGTAGTAATGCACTGCTTCTCCATTTATCACAGAGCTCTACAACAATAAAACTCCCAGTAATGTGGAGCTCTGTGACAAGAGCATACACTACACAACAATACAACCCTAAGTAATGTGTCTATTAGTGTATCACCAAGCTCCCTAACTATAAAACACAGAGTAATGTGCATTTTATATACCAGAGCTCCACTGTAATACATCTCACTATAATATTATGTAATATTTGTGTTGTGATAGGTGTGATGACTGAATTGTGATATGTATGCTATGTGTTGGCTGTGTGTGATATTTGTAATGGGTGTATTGACTGTGTGTGATGCATTTAGGCCTATGTTTGAATGCAGGTGTATATTTTTGCAGAGTTATGTCCCACAGTGAGATGCACACAGTTATACATATACATTGTCAAATCCACCACATGCACACAGTTGCAGGCAGATAGTCACATACACAGGATCAGGCAGAAACACAAAGGGTACAGGCAGTCACACATACACAGTTACAGGCAGATGAACACACTCTCACACAATTAGAGGCAGACAGTCACACACACAGGTACAGACAGACAGTAACATACATACAGCCATACATTCAGTCTTACACACATACACGCCCACACACTTACATGCAGACAGTCTCACACACACACACACACTCACAGGCAAACCGTCACACAAACATACTCACAGGCAGACAGCCACACACACACACACACAGGCAGACAGTCACACACACAGGCAGACAGTCACGCACACACACACACGCAGACAATAACACCTACTTACCTCTGTTCATTATGGAGGAGTGGAGGCAGTGCAGCTCCTGGAGACTGGTTATTGGGGAAGCAGGGACTCCTTCCTGCTTCCCCTGCAGCAGTTACCACCGGCACTTTTAGCTCCGTTCCTGCCATCAGTTTAGCCCCGCCTCCGCTGCACAGGAAGCTCCGCCCCGCTGCAATATTGCAGAGGGGTTGTTTTTTTTTATAATCCTGGCCCGCCATGTGTGAGCTGTGTCAGCCGCATGGTGCCCCCTGCTCCCATGGCGCCCTGTCTCACTTGTCCTTAGTCCATCAACTAATTTGGAGCTGGAGAGTTAATCACCAGGGTTCATAGTCTATGCACAAGATGCTGGCAAGTGAGTCTCTCTGCAGGGTCCATTTGTGACTCCGTCTTGTGTGCCTCCTCTCCAGGTCACAATGTGTGCCATGTGTGAATAATATATTGTTTATCCAACTATATCTCACTTTAATGCTGGTTAATATTTTATAATTTCTCTTTCTGACAGGCCACTGTGAAAGTGATTGGAATGGATCAGCCAGTTTTCCGTCACCAAACCAACATTCTCTACACCCCCTTAACTGCTCTAAAATATGCAGACAACACAGGAAACCTCTCAGTCAGGACCTTCTATAACCTTCTCTTCAACTATGGCTCCATGTTCCACTTTAGCCTGAACTTTCTTAGATGTATAACCTGTAAGTGCTTTCGCAGGAGAGTTATGCCTGTCTGAACTTGCTTGGCTACCTGACTATATCAGTCTACAAATGTGTAGCCTTAAGGTCTACAACAGCATTATTTTAACTAACAGCCTGGATAGGTCTTTAAAGGAATTTAATTTACGGGAAAAAAATAATATATATATATTCTCTTGTATTAAATATTTTATTTAATAAGGTCCCCAGTCTATTTCTGAATGACATCTGACCCTCACTGTTTGGTTTTTATAATTACAATACATAGTAATCTAGTTTGAAAACAGACTAAAAAGTCCATCAAGTTCAATCTTTAAAATCCATTCCTGTATGCTGTTGATCCAAGACCCCAATTGTAGTGATTTCCAATTACAAAAATAATGTCTTATTAACTCCATAATGGCAATCAGATTACTCATTGGATCAACAAGCAAGATTGCACAGTCAAGGTGGGGCCTTACCACAGTTTTATAAAGAGGCAAACTTATTATTTTGCTTGTGTGAATCAATAACCCTCCTTATACATGAAAGCACCTTACTAGCTCTTGCAATGGTAGACCAGCATTGGATACAGTTGCCTAGTTTATCTATAACTGTTCCAAAGTCCTTTTCATTTGATCTTATCAGTATCTCATCCCCATTTAATACATAAGTGGATTGTGGAATTTTTATACCAAATGCATAACTTTGCTTTTATCTGTGTTGAATCTCATTTGCCACTTGCCTGTCCTCTCTCCGAATTTACCAAATTACTATGTATAGAGTTTATATCATGCTCATCCTGTATTTTCTTACCTAGCACCTAGCAAGCACTGACATAACTTTCAATGCCCATTTTAAGGTCATTTATAACCACTTTTGTACAATTTGAAAATGTTCAATTTACAACTACTTTCTGTAATCTATCTTTAAACCAGTGTTGTGTCCAAAAACATGATTTTTCATCTAAGCTAACTGATATCAGTTTTAAAGGGACACAATAGGCACCCAGACCACTTCATCTTTAGAGAAACTGCAATGTTTTACATTGCAGAGTTAAGACTGCCTCTAGTGGCTGAAAGAGGAAGAGAAGAGGACAGGATAAAGGTATGTTAGAGGTAACTTTTCCACTTTACGCTCCCAGGTCAGTAGTTTCCAGGTTGAACTTTTGATCCTTTTGATATACAAGCACCACATCTGTTTTCTCTATAAGACATGGTTAATGTAAATATATGTATTATTTTTTGGTTTGTTTGGTATTATAAAGGTAATTTGTTCCTATCTTCCATAGAAGACTAGAATGATAAGTGCTTTACAAATTGGGAAAAAATGCAATGAGTGCAAATTATGCAAGAAAAGAAATTGTAAAAATGTCTGTACTAGTCTGTAAGAGTACTTGTGTGTTGTAATTTTGTGTACATTCCTGATATGAATTATGTCGATATGCACTAAATGTGAAAATATGAAACTTGAAGCTACATAAGTTATGTTAGATTTGTTTATGCAGTTATTTTTTTATTTATTTTTTTAATAATGAATAGTTTTACTTCATAAGCCCTCCCTTTCACCCCATCTTTCACAACCTGCAGTGTTTCCTCTTTTGTTACACAAAAACTGTTTATACAATGTCATAAGTTTGGTTTCTGGGAGCTATGGTTCCGTTTTTCATTTTCAAGTCAACCATTGAACTACAAATATTATTACTAAAACATTATTATTATTATTATTATTATCGCCATTTATATAGCGCCAACAGATTCCGTAGCGCTTTACAATATTATGAGAGGGGGAATTTAACTATAAATAGGACAATTAAAAAAAAAACTTACGGGAACAATAGGTTGAAGAGGACCCTGCTCAATCGAGCTTACATTCTGTAGGACATTTATTATTTTTGTATTGCTATTACTTTGGCATATCACTTTATAATTGCTTGATATTTGGGCACTTTATATTGTTTAGATTAGACTCAATTAATTTTATTTTTTTTTAGGTTATTTTCTTTGAGATTCAGAAAGATTCAACTCCTTTTGATTAAGTACCTAATTTTTCAATGAGATAACAGATGGGGTTTATGATCCCATACAGGTTTTGCGGTTTGCACTCAATTGTAACTCTTCACCATGATTGGGTTATTTAATTATTGATTACCTATATGTAGCTTTTTATAAAAACTCCCAGACCGCCTTATGGTGGGCCCATGCAGCACTGCATAGCAGATAAACTCATGAGTGACACAGAAAGTCACTTCCTGGTTTGGTTACAGATCGCTGCAAAATATGCAAAACAATGCAGCAATTGTAGGAATTTAATAAAGCTTAAAAAAAAAATTAAATGTCTTCTTATTGTTTTGGAGGTTTTGATGCATTATCTATATAAGGCATTAAAATAAAGAATTGACCGTCACTGGAATGTCCATTTAGACTCTGTGTGTTTATTTAGTTATTTATTTTCACTTTACTTATCTAACCATCTTGTTGAGGTTTATCTTGAGCCTGATTGTACTACTTCCATTCCACTGGAAGGTAAAATACAAAATGTGTTTTTACTTGATTAAATAGCTGTTTGTGTCAAGTGAAAAAAGCACACAAAACATATCTGAGGTTTAAAGAGACACTCTAGGCACCGTTACTACTTTATCCCATAAATTGGTTACAGTGTCTGGCGCTGACCTTCCATTCTATGTTTAATCAGGCAATCCCATCTGTGCCTCTTGGGCTGATGAGGAAACATGAGCCTGAATAGCAATGGGTAATAGTGATTGACTAAGAGTGTCAGCTGACCATTTTGAACCTATCACAGCCACCAACTGCTGGTATGAATTGGTATGGCTTAGGAAGAATATTATCTCTGCTTAAGCCATACATCCACTGGTGGTTGAGCTGTGCCAAGTCCTGGACCCTTATTCAGTATTAAACTTCTTGAAAGTGAGTTATTACTAAATGGAGGCACAGCACCAAAGAACTCCAGACACTATAACCAATTTCATGAAATGAAATGGTTATAGTGCCTTTTGGGTTCCTTTGAGAATCCAGATATAGAGATTCTTTCAACCCTGGCCTTCTCCAATACACCTACGTTATACCCCAGGCAAACATCCTCTATATGTATAATCAGGTGAGACACCCCAAGGGTTGGTCCTTAAATTTTAATTATTGGGGGGTGGGGGGGGGAATTCAACAGAAAATAGCACAATCTAAGCCACAAGGACAGCTGGAAACATAACTGACAATTGATGGCTTATTGAATAATTCTGTAAGTTATTTCTTAATTTAATATCCTTGTGTCTTTATTGACACCTTTAAAGAAAATAGCAAATTAAAACTAAAATTTGTGTGTGTGTGTGTGTGTTCAAAATAAATGTTTCTGAAATATATTTTCATTCTTTGAGCTGATGTATTATATAGTTTGGTAGTTAAAGGAAAATATATTTTAATGAGCCAAAAAGGATATACGCAAATTATTTAAACGCAAATTTTTTTCTACAAATGTATAGGTTTATTTTTGTTTATGAATAGTAATTTAACAAATGTAAACAAACCAATGTAAATAAAGTACAACCAGACAAAAAGGTTTCTAAGTATTTACATACTTTTCTGAATTCTATATTTGTAGATATATGAATAGATCGGTACAGCAAAATAAATTGGCACTTATTATATAAAACATTAAGCTATACCTTGGTTTTTAATGACTGCTATTGTATTGTATCTTGTTTATCCTTCACCAAGCATTGGCTATACTGAATATTGTTGTATGACAACAAATAGCGACCCAAGCATGTTTAGATCTTCCAGACAAAACCTTGAGGTAGCAGCCCTGGTCGGTGTCTACTTCTTGGGCACATTTGGTAGCCGTTGTTTTTTACTTAAATTTAAAAAAACAAAACTGCAATATATGGGCGTATGTGGCTACCTGACCATAACACCTGATAACCTTTGACACTCTTCACCCAATTTGTGCCCATTTAGCCAAAAGAACCATTGAGAAGTCATTTACTAATGATAGCCAAAATGTTGTGGCTTGCAATCAATGATCCAGGTCATCCTAATGGTGTTTAGTTGAGGTTTATAAATAATAAATTCTTTAAAAAAAATAAGGAACTTGCCAAATCACAACCTCTAAAACATTTTTCTGATTTTGCTAATTCCGCATTTGTATCAAACCATAAACAGGCTGTCTTGAGATTATGAGTAATCTTTGACAGCTGTCCAAATTAATTTCTGCTTCTGTGTAATGTGATGTAATGTGACATGGTAAAATACCTATATAATCTGATGGTTTATATTAATAAATCAAAGTTGATTTGAACCTCAAATTTGTCTGAGCTGATTCTCCACGGTGTTGTGTGATGATTGGAATTCCTGAAGTACGTAGCTGCAGCTTTAAGATCTCACCGGGGAGGCCACTCAACTTCTTCTACACCAGGCTTCTTAAACCACGTCTTCATTGGCCCAGGGGCACAGTCATTCTGGAGCAGGAAAGGATGTTCTCCAAACATTTGCCACAAAGTTGGAAGCACCCAATCGTCTAAAATGTCTTCATATTCTGTAGTATTAAACTGGTCCTGCACAGGAGACAAGGGGTTTGGTTCAAACTCTGAGAAACAGACCCAAACCATCAAATGGCACTTTGCAGTGAAGCTGGCACTAGTATCCCAATAGGTAGCATTCTCCTGCCATCTGCAACATCCAAATTCTTCCATCACACTGACCTCTGCGCCAAACATTTTTACAATAAAAACTGGATTCCTGTGCCCATATCCCAAGCAAGTGACATCCCTAAGAAGGGGATGTTATCTATTAGTAAGTGTTATCTATTAGGGGTTACCCCCCAATTATCCTTAGCAACCTGACTTTATATCCCTGTCCTTTCTTTGCTTTTTAATAATAGACATCCCTAAGAAGTTCTCTCTGGAGCGCCCACTCTGACCAAAATGCGCTCGGATCTGAGGTGTCTATCCTGAGTTAGATGCCAGTTAATGTTTCGACTGGGCTGTGATTATTATTTTATTATTTATATAGCGCTAGCAAATTCCTTAGCGCTGTACAATGGGATAATCCTTTGATCCGGCACGGAGCTCTACAGTGCTGGGTAGGAAGTCCTGGTCACCTATGATGATGGCGCTTTCCGTTGGTACATGAAGCGCAATCCTTAATTTTGAAATTAACGTAGAACTCACTTTTAATTCTTAGTTTTGTAAAAAAGGTTATTCACTAAACTTGTGACTATAGCAGAGTTCTAGAATTTTTCTCCAACAGCTGTTTTTCCTAGAATTTTCCATTGGGATTTAATTTGCAAAAGTTCTGACTTCTACAAATAATCCTGATAGAATGTTTGCACTTTCTTAGAATTGTGACTCAAACGGTGATCCAGTGGTGCCACCTATTGGTTAAACCAAAACTTACAGATTGTTATTTATCAGTGAAATGAAACTGAAACTGTAAATGCTGGGCAGTATCCGGTGTAAGAAGATGAATACATCTATAATTCGATAAAGCAGATGCCCAGTCCTGATCAATTTTTGTGGTGCAACAGTGTTTGCGAATCAACATTGCTATTTGTATCAACCAACTAGGACCCTAATTTTAGATTTTTGGAAAAGCTTTCCAAATGATTTAATGATTTTTAAAAATATATTTTTGATATTTTAATATTACTTTTTTTTTGTTTATCCAAAATATTAAATCATTTGAAAGGTTTATCCAAAAATATTAAAACAATGCCTAAGTAATATAAACACCTCTAAAGCATGCCTCCCAACAGTCCCCTATTCGGGTTTCTGTTTCTTTGTGTCCAGCCAATTTTAGACACCAAGGAATTGTTCCAGCGTGAGGGCTCGAGCTCTTAGGGTATTCAGACCGTAGGCAGGGTGCTCCAGGGTGCTCCAGAACCACTAATGCATTGGATGATGGGCAGACCAGACTGTCTTCATGTCACCCTGGTGTACACATGCCAGACTGGCATCCCCCCTTTGAGGTGGTCTGTCCACTTTCTTGGGTGTGTCTGTTCATTTCCTTGATGGTCTAGCCACTGCCAGCACCTCCTTATGACCTGCTTACCTCTGGTCCTGGATCCATTCTTTCCTCCCTATTTTGTGAAGTATACTGTGAAAGTATATTACTTATGTTTCTGTCCATGCAACCCTAGCCACGCATCCTCTAGCTATGTCATGATTCCCTTTATTTCAGAAGTTTGGTCCTTAAGGGGTTAAAGCCGTTACGGTGGCATAGAACGCCATAATGGCTAGCAACCCCAGGAGGTAAAATATACTTACCTCCACCGCGATACTCTTCGGGAGGACTGCCTGACAGCCCAGGCAGCCCTCCCACGGCAACTCAGGCCCCCCGGGGGCCATGTGATCGCTCGCAAAGAGCGATCACATGGACCCCTGTAGCTAGCTGTGGATCTGCCAGCAGGGGGAGTGTCTGAGCTGTCATATATTATATATATGTAATGTCATACATAGTGTATTTTAATGTTAATATAAGTACATATATTAGTATTAAAATACACTTAGAATGATGTTACATATATATAAGATACAATGCCCACCCATAAATCCACCTACATGGCCCACCCATGAGTTCTCTCACAGGTAGTGGAGTGTATGTGTGTAGGGGATGTTTTATGTGTTATTGTAGAGGATGCAATGTGTGTGTGTTCTTATAGAATGTAGTGTATAGGGATACCAATTTGTGTAAGGGATGTAGTGTGTGTATAGTGGATGCAGTGTGTGCTTGCGTGTAAGGAATGCATTGTATGTTTCTGGGTGTGTGTGTGTAAGGGATGCAAGGTGTGTTTCTGTGTATGTAATTGAATGCAGTGTGTGTCTGTAAGGGGTACATTGAGTGTGTAAGAGATGCATTTTGTTTCTGTGTGTAAGAGAATGAGTGTTTGTGTGAGCGTAAGGGATGCATTGTGTGTTTCGGGTGTGTCTGTGTGTGAGTAAGGATGCATTGTATGTTTCTGTGTGTGTGTGTATGTGTGTGGGGATGAATTGTGTATGTGTGTAGTGTAAAAGAGAGGGTTTGTGGGGTAGGATAGGGACTGAGAGGGGAGCAGCTCTTTATTTTGTTAAAGAAAATTCATAGTGCTCACCCCTCCTGTCAATTAGTGTTCTCCCTTTCTGTCCCTTAGTGCTCTCCCTTGGCCCCCTGTCCCTCTGCAGTCCCCACTTGGTGGTCTTCTTACTCCCCTTTCTCCCTCTTAGTGGTCCTCCCTCCCTCCCACCCCCCTTTGGTGGTCCTTCCCCTCCCCCCCCAGTGGACCTTCCCCCCTCCTCCCTTAGTGGTCCTTACTCCCCCACCTCTCCCTCAGTGGTCCTTACTCCCCTCCTCCCCAGTGGTCCTTAGTTGTCCCCTCCCTCCCCCAGTGGTCTTTGGTGTGCCCCCTCCTCCCCAGTGATCCTTAATGTCCCTCCCTCCCCCAGTGGTTCTTAGTCCCCCCCAGTGGTAGTCCCCCTCCCCTCTAGTGGTCCTTAGTCCCTCCCTCCTCCTCCCCAGTGGTCCTTAGTACCCCCTCCTCCTCACCCCAGTGGTCCTTACTCCCCCACCTCCTCCCCAGTGGTCCTTGGTGCCCCCCCCCTCCTCCCCCAGTGGTCCTTACCCTCCTCTTCCCTCCTGCCAATGTAGCGTGGCCGGGTGGCCGGGTGAGCACTTCCTGTCAGTCCGCCGGCGTCCGGGTACAGGAAACAGAGGTTCCTGTTCCGCGCCGCCTGGCCACGCTACATTGAGAGACGGGCAGGAGGGAGCGCTCTGCGCTTCCCTCCTGCCGGTCGCTCAAATCCGGCCGCCCTCCATACATCAGTGCTGCGCCACCTGAGGCTTGTAAAAGCGCTCAGGCGGCGCAGCATGTTGGAGCCACACCGGTGATTCCAGGCGCAGGGATCCGGCGCCCCCTGCTAAGTTGCGCCCTAGGCAGCTGCCTAGGTCGCCTTACAGGTAGCGCCGGCCCTGTTCACACATGCTGTACCCCTCTTGCACACAGACACACTGCACCCCTCACACACACACACTGCATCCCTCTTGCACACACAAACCCCCCCCACACACACACACAGAACCCTCACACACAGCTTGTGCTGTGCAGAACAAATACAGGGGCTTTTTCTCATGCTAGAGTTCAACAGCAGAGCTCTGCGCATGGTGCACCCTGGAAGAGCATTGAACCAACATGCTCACTTTGTGATGGGGCGTGTTTGTCATTGTTGATGTGGCCCCGCCTCCTCTTCAATGGGCCGCTGTCATTAAAAAATGCCCGGGCTGAATTTTCTTCCCAGTCCGGCCCTGAGCATCTCTCTCTCCAAGCACCAAGTCACCACTCTGGCCATGTCTCTCCGGTGACTTCCAGCCGATGCTCCACTCACGGTCTAAAGGTCCACCCAGCAGCGAGGCTCCGCTCACATTTGGAGGGATTATCTCACTGCCTCCGTGCTAACATCCACCCTTTCGTCTCCGTACTCGCTCAGAACCCAACCTGCGAGCGGTGCATGCATGCAGCCGTCACGTCATCACGCCCACCCCGAGCAAGTAAAATATATTTTAATGAGCCCAAAAGCATGTACAGAGATTAAAAAAAAAAAAAAAGATTTCATTTCTACAAATGTATAGGTTTATTTTTGTTTATGAGTTGTTCTTTAACCCCTTAAGGATGCATGACGGACCACAGATTAACCAAAATTAACCACAGATCGCGGCAATCGCGACAATCACGGGTTAACGCTGCTACGGTCTGCCTCGGTATTCGAGGCAGACCGGGAGCACCAGATCGCGCTTTCCCTGCAGCTGTGATCGCTCTGATCGACTGTCAGAGTGAGCACATGTGCTGCAGGGACTACTGATCTGCCTCCCTGAGTTTCTGCGGTCAGTCTGAAGTGCAGGGAGACGGATCAGTGCTGATCCTCTTCATCCTGTGAAAAAAAATATATAAATAAAGTTAAATCCCACCCCTTTTACCCCCTGCTTTAATAAAATTAACCCCTTCCCTGCCAATTGATCACTGGCTACATTGATTAATTGGCAGGGACTACATTTTACGGTGATATGATTTTTTTTAACGCCTGAGGGTTAATTTCTATTAATTTTTTAACCCTCAGGGGTTAAATTAATTAAATTAATTAATTAATTAAAATGATTTATTTAGCTAGCTGGGGTGGGTGGAAGTTAGTGGGGAATTTGATCTTAGGCTAGCTAAATGTTAACGTTAAAAAAAGTTTAAAACAAAATCTTAAAAAAT